TGTGCCTGCCTGGTGTCTGCTGCCGAGCCACTGTGCTTGGGGGCCTGTCCCCAGCACGTCCTTTGCTTTCTCTGATACCTATTCAAACCTCTCTCCATTCTTCACTGCCCAGGTCCTATCACCTTTTGATCTAAAACTTCCTCCTGCCTTCCTGGGCCTCCCTCTCCTCCGAGTTCATGCTGTGTTTGTAATCGCTACCTCAAAGTTATCGTAATGATGCACTGTCTTCTAACATTTCTTATAATTTCAATTTGTATTTTCTCCCCAACCAGACTGTAATCTCCTTGAGGACAGGGACAATGTCTTTTATTTCTTCCTTCTATTATCCTCTCCTCTCGATATCTCTTTTCTTTCAATGATCTCACTTTTGAAGCTATTTTTATTTTTACTGTGTTTCTTGTATATATTGTGGTAAGCGATCTCCAAACATTTGCAGAATAAAAAAGCATTTCCTCTGTATCTTTCACAATACCTATCACTGTGCTAGCTAAACACACAGTGGTGTGTGAGAACTCACTCAATAAATATGTAATTGGTTTTGAAATATAGTAGGGCATATGTCTATTCACTTCAGGCAACTAAAGAATATATTTCAGCTCCTTAAGAATCCAGATCTAAATGGAGTCATTTCAGTCTTTTTCCCTCTCTGACTCAGCTGTGCTGTCTTTTATTATATCCCGGTACCCTGATCTTCACTTGATACAACTAAAACTGAAGAGAGAGAAAAAGTAAAAACAAACACCGCCAAAGACCTCAGTGGCTCCTCAGATGGGGATTTAAGGGGACTCGTTGGTAGACCTTTTCTAGATGAGGACATTTGTTTATGGAATATTCCGCCAGCTGCTAAGCTCCACTACCCAACACCTACCCTGAAAGGGAGGGTAGGGCAGGCAGAGATGGAGACACAGAGAGACAGTGAGATGAGAAAAATAATCCAAAACAGAGAATTTTTTTTAAGAAAAAAAAACCCAATGCTTTCTCTGGCATAAGGAATAGTTCAGGATCAAAGGCTAAGATTCTGATTTTAAAAGTTTTGGGTCTGCTTTCTTCATGCCTAAGCCACTGGGTGAATTTAGATGGTGGGAGAGATCATTACAGCTTTGCTTACGCAAAACATTTCTTTTGTGATATCCTCTTCTTGAAAGCTTCACTCGCTTCACTCACTTCAGTTTTATTATAGGGGCTGACTGATAATATGCCAATCCCACACATCTGTCTCAGTGGGTAAATAAATCACAGGAAAGAACATTGCAGCTTAAAGGGTAGAAATTCAAGCCCAGCTTTGATTTCTGCAACCATCACCACATCAGAGCAATCCCACAATTGCTACCCCGTAGAACAAGCACTGCCAGCTATATATGGAGACTGCCCTCTTGCTATGGTGGCCGGAGCAAGAGAGGGAGCAGGCAGCTCGTCATATTTCTTCATATCTGCGAGAGCCCGGCTCTTCCTTTCCAGACAAGAATGGAGGAACGATTCCTCACTCCCTCCTTTAAACTCGCACCCTTGCAGGTGGCTCTTTTGCATGCGCTTGGCTGCTTGAGCGCCATGGGGCCAACATAACATGTGAGCCATTTTTAAGTACTATGTCTCTTAAATTATTCTCTACATCCATCTTCATCTACTGGACACAGGGTTTCAACAACCAAGGTGGTCTCATTTGATAGAGTGGTTTAAAGCTAGTAGTTGTTTCACACAAAGGACCCACAAGACTTGGTGGTGCTATCATCTGGTATCTTCTAAACCAGGAAAAAGATTTTTACCCACAGAATCCCCCAAAACAGGATTCTCAATCAGAATCAGTTCTGAACAAAACTTCTTACTAAACCTTTGTAAGAAAGAAAAAATGAAAGAGGGTTACAAATTAAGACCGCAGGCGATGGCTGAATTAGCTTGTATTAAAGAGCGAGCTGGCAGCCAGGCATTAGTCTTCACTGTTTCTGCCTTTAGGGAGTTTATTGAATGTGCTTTTGTGATATAATTTATAAGGAAATTGGTTATACTCAAAAGGACATTTTTACTTTACGTCTTGTAGCACCCTTGAGTGCTTAAAAAACGGGAGAGGGTAATTCCATTAAGCTTTCAATTTTCACTGGCAAGAAATGAACCAGATGTGATTGGAAAGATAAGGTCCTGGCCTTCACCTGACCTGACCTTGCTCCAGGGGTCAGGGAATAAGAGGCATGGCCTTTGTTCCAGAGGTGTCATTTCACGTTTAATTAGAGGGCTCGAATTCCATTTTTTTCTCTATAAACCCCACCCCCCCAATCTGCTGAGAAAATGTTCATTAAGTTCACAGTAGGCGGATCACTGATCATCGTCTTAACAGCTTTGGGAGTCATGTGTTCATGCTGGTGATCCGCAGTGGACTCAGGATCATGATGAATGTTAAAATCAGGACACACGTGGATGAGACGAGACCTGACCTTTGAGGAATTACAGATCTCGTTTGCACAGAAGGCTGCCCTCCACCCAGTCACACCAGAAGCCCTCAGTAGAGTCTCCCAGTTCTCTCCTTGGATCTCATCTCTTACTTCATCTATTTCTTCGAGGGCAGGGGGAGGAAGAAACTATTAAAAATGAAAGAAATAATCTCTGTTGCTCAAAGTTAAGATGCTTCCACATATCTTGGGAGGGTTTCTAATACGATCAATTCTGTGACACTTAACTTATCAGTTGGAACCTTCAAATGAGAAACTGGATATGGTATAGCAATGCCATGGCTTTGTTTTCCCCCCTTTTTTGGGTGATCATTTAAAAATAGATTTTTATTCTCTAAAACTGCACTAATATGGTAGCCATTAGCCACGTGTGATTATTTATATTTAAATGTAAATTAATTCAAATAAAATCAAGTTAAAGATTCAGTTCCTCAGTCACAGTAGCCACATTACAAGGGTTCAACAGCCACGTGTGGTTAATGGCTCCTATCTTGGGCAGCGCAGATCTCTAATGGTTCCAGCACTTCCCAGAGCAGTTCTCCTGGACAGCACTGCTCTAGAATAAATATTGATGAAGTTTATTTCTCTCCTATGCTTATGTACATATATTCAGAATTCCCAAACATTTAAATAGCAATTCAAATGTCCTTTTACAACTACCATATGACTATTTGAGCTGTCATTTAGGTCTCGTGATTTAATGGCCAGCTGGGTATGGCAGACTGATCTCCTTCAATAGTGGGTCTTTCAGACACTCCACTTTCACAAATAATTGAACTCCTTGAAAGATAAATTTGAGAATCTGCAGAAAGAGCTGGAGAAAGCCTACAGCTGTAGTACCAGCAAAGACTCTATGAATTTTACATCTTATTTGCTCCAACACTTTCTGCTCTGTGAGGGAGGGCTTAGTTTTTTTGTTACTACTTGTCTTCTTGCCTACAGCAGCTCTATTGAGAGGGTGTCACATTAAGCCTAAAGGCCCCTTCCTTTGTGTGAACCAACAGGAGTGGGCAAGGTCTATGAGTTCCAATTTGCCAAGCAGATAACCCTGGCTCTTGCTCTCTCATCTTCCACCACCTGGATGATGAGCTCTGTGTTGAATATCTGCATCTATTTCCATGGATAATTAGGTAGTATGCTTGCCTAAAACTGCTAGCAACTCCTCTGGCAATTTTCAAATCAGGACACACAGGAGCGACAGCCACCAGCAGAAGTCCTGCCTGGTGTCAGATATGTCCTCAGATGAGATCAAATTCTGGAAGCCTGCATGCAAGACTCATCTTTGGTTGATAATTTTCCTTAGTTTTGCACCATGGCAGGAGTTTTCTTAGGGGTTCTGCATCTTGGGAACACAGGCAGAGGCCCCAGTGAAATCTTAGGATTGATTTAAGTATGTGTAAAGTTTATTTTGTAAGGACTTTTTCATGGGATCCATCGTATCATAAAACAAGTCAGTTGGTTCTCAATTTCTCAAAGTAATGGTGAAGGAGTAAAAGTCAATCCTTTATGGAAAATCAGCCTCAGGGTTATCTTGGGTTCTTAAAGACACTGTGCTCTGAACACTCATAAAAGGAGTGGAAATGTGGAATGGCTTTTTCTAAAAGATGGCACTTTTCTATCTGTTCTTGAACTGAATAGTGAAATGAGTAATAATTCTCACCAAAGTGGGTATCCCGTGTTTTTTAGCTTAATTTCAAAGATCTCATTTTCCTAAGAAATTTTTAATGTTTGTCTTCCTCCCACTTCCCCTCTCCCTTCCAAACATATGACATCCATAGAAGGCCAGGGGCTTTAGTTTTCTGTGTCTCTTTCTGATGAGAGACTCACTTTAAGTAAGTTAGCTTAAGGTCCCATCTTCAACGGTGAAGGCAACCACCATTCCAGTTTCTTGTATATCCTTCAAGAACTATCATATTCATATACAAGCTGAGAGATGTATTATATATGTCTTTCCCCTCCAGACTTTTTACTAAATGGTAGCATACTCTTCATTGTCTTTTTAAACTATACATCTCAGAGATGTTTCCATATTGATATATAAGGGACTTCCCCGTTCTTTTTATGGTTATGTAATATTCGGTTGCATACACTTAATCAAATTCATTTAACCAGTTCCCTATTGATGGACATTTAGGTTGTTTCTAATATTTTACTATTATAAACAACACTGCAGTGAATATGGTAATGTCATTTTATACTTGATGAATAAGTATATCTAGAAGACAAATTCTTAGATGTAGAATGAGTAAATGCATTTGCAATTTTGATATTTTCTAGATTCCTCTCCCTAGATGTTTTATCAAATTATATTCTCATCAGCAAAATATTAAGTGTTCCTCATTTTGTCAACACAGTGATTTCTAATTTTTAAAAGTTTCCAATTTTATAGGTGAAAAATTTCACTGTAGTTAATGTGCATTTACATTTGGGATGAGGCAGAGCATGCTTTAATATATTGGAATTTCTTTTTTGATGAACTGTCACTTTATATTGGTATCAGTCAGGTTGGCTGTAAGAGATCAGACTGCAGTGGCTTAAACTCAAGGGGTTTATTCTCACCTAAATCCTATCTGCAGATCAGTAGTTCAGGTTGGCATGAAGGCTGCAAGTTTATCAGGGTCTCAAGCTCCTTCTTTCTTTCTCCTCCACCATATTTAAAATGTGGCTTCCATCTTAAAGTTCACTTTATGGCTCAAGATCATTGCTGGAGTACCAGCCATCACGTCTACATTGCAGGCTGCAAGAAGGAAAAGCAAAATGGTAAAACAGTGTGTGCCTCCTCCTTCTTAAGAAGCCTTACCAGAAGTTCCCTTCAACAATTTAGCTTATATCTCAGCAACAACTTAGTAACATGGCTGCATCCAAGGGAAACTGGAAAATGTAGCTTTTTAACTGAGCACATTGCCCAGCTATCAGTTAATAAGGAACAAGAGAAAAATGGATGTTGGAGGCAATTGGTAGTTTCTGTCACAAATCCTTGGCCAATTTTACGTTTGGGTTTTTCTTATTCTTACTGATTCCTAGGAGCTCTTTATATATAAAGGAAATTCTTGTCTGCTACAGGAGTTACAAATAATTTTTTTCCCATTATTTTCTTTTGACTTTGATTATGGTGTTTTGTCATGTAGATATTATTTCTGTAGCTAAATGTATCAATGTTTTCTTTTTTATGGTGTCTGGGTTTTGAGTCAGATGTAGGAAAGCCTTCTCACTTTGAAGTCTATTATGGTTTCTTCCAGTAATTTCATAAGGATTCAGACCTTGAAAGATTCAACTCAAGGTCAAAGCCTTCTGGAACCAAATTTCTTTTTTCTTTTTGGTGAGGAAGATTGTCCCTGAGCTAACATCTGTGCCAATCTTCCTCCATTTTGTATGTGGGTCACTGCCACAGCATGGCTTGATGAGTGGTGTGGAGGTCCACACCCGGGATCCAAACCCACGAACCCTAGGCCACGGAAGTGGAGTGCACAAACTTAACCACTATGCCACTGGGCGGGCTCCCCCAAATTTCTTATCTAAGTTGTAAGCAATAGCAGCGGCTCACTGATTACTGGCGGGGATAGTTCTGTTATCTTTGGAGACTTAACAGTAGCACTAAAGTAGCCTTACCCTAGAATAATACCACTGAACGACGGCTCAAAGATTAATGCCAATTGCAGGTCGCTTAAACACGGTTACTGGGAGTCTGGATCATTGCAGTGCAGTAAGAATTTGCATCGAGTGAGATCAAGGTGGTGTTTTTGAAATGGAAATCTAAATAGCCAACTCAGAAAGTTATTAATAGGAAACATAAAAGGGATAAAAGAAACATTCATTTTTAAACCAGAGAGAGGATATTTTAAAATGGTAATAGTTCACATTGGCTGGTTACCACTCCAGTAATTCCCTCCTGTTGCTGGTGATAATTACTACCAGGAACAGAGCAAAGTCCCTAGCACTCCCCACTACAGCCTGGAGTTCCGAGGAGTCAGTGAAGGGTAAGCTCTTGCTAAGCCTGGACATTGGCTACTCTCTTGTAAATACCCTCTCCGTGATTGTGGTAGGTTGGCAAATTCTTTTTCTTGGAAAGGAGTAATTTCAACAGGATGCTATCTTGATAGAGACATAGTTTAATTTGTTCAAAACAACTTTTAAAAATTTCACATGGATATAGACAAGCTGTACAACTTAGTCTAACATCTATTAAATGCATTTTCTAAACTTGAATTCTAATTGTCGTTTAGGGCTTTGGATTGAAATATTCACCTGAACGTCTGGAGGGATGAAAAACATTGTTCTGTTCTTATTGTTTTGTCAGTGCCTTCCAGTGGATTCTGATTCCTAGTGAACCTGTGTACAGCAGATGGAACCCTACTAGGTCTTTTTGCTATATCCTCTCACCTTCCGGCCTCTATCAGACAATGCTCTGCTGCTATTCATAGGGTTTTCATGGCAAATTTTCCTGGAAGTGGGTGGACAAGTCTTTCTTCCTAGTCTTTGTTAGTCTGGAAGCTCCGCTGAAACCTGCTCACCACGGGTAACCCTGCTGGTATTTGAAATACTGGTGGCCTAGCTTTCAGCATCACAGCAACATAAGCTGCCATAGTATGACAACTGACAGATGGGTGGTGTGGTTCCCTGACTGGGAAACGAACCAGGCCATGGAGGTGAGCATGCTGAATCTTAGCCACTAGACCACCAGGGCTGGCTCCTATTCTCATTAGGAATAGAAAATTAAACGCATAGCAGTTGGAAACATCACCTTAATTTGTCCCTTCCAAATCCAATTAGACCCCGTAAGGCATTATATGCACATACTCCAAGAGAGTGAGATGAAAGATTGGAAACCAGAGATGAAAATGATGCCACAGACTAAAAGAGCACTTTTCAAATCAGTGACATTGTCTCCTTCTCTCCTCACCTTCACCCAGGGAGGTGGGGCAGCAAACAAGGGGAAACCAAGTAATAAGTGACCTGCTCGGGTGTTTACAGAGATAGCTTTTGGCAAAGCTATGATACCAGGTAGAATTCCTGATTTTTAACTCTGATAAGTAATTTGATAGGAACAAAAAGTTAAATTAGGAAAATATTTTTTAACATGACATACATAGTCTTCCAAACGACTTACTGGCATTCCATGGAAGATTAAAATTATGGTGAGACTAAAGATGATGTCCCCAAGCCTTGCTGAGACCTACATTGCATAGAGTCGGTTATAGGTCTTGTACTCCTTCTATGGCTAAGATAAAACTTCTAGCAGTCACCAGACTAATTTAGTCACCAGGAAGGGGGAGAGAGGAGCAGAAGAGTGACACAGTCCCTGGTAAGACTTCGCCAAGTCTTTTAAGAAGACTTTAAGCTTCCTGGGGAATCGATTTGTTAGCTCGAGGGGTGTGTGATAACCACCAAGCTGATTACTGTAGACATCCTCTGCTTGAGGTACACGCAAAGAACATTTATGGAGTAGAAATTAAGTCAAATGTATTCCAGGTTAAAAAAACAAAAAAGCAAAATTTTAAGGATTGACATAAGGGACACCATAAAGGTTGAACATCAAATTTTAATCTTGAACCTCTTCTCCAGTCTTCAAATTATTAACATGAAAAGGAATGATAAATTGCAATTTTATCATTACCATATCGCTGTGTAACAAGCCCTTGTTACAAAATCTCCATCTACTGTCTCCAAAAAACCAATAGAAAACCCATACATTATATTATCTAAGTGATCTATTAACAGATGAAATTTTAACCAACTTCATACCAGGAAACTATTAACAGAGGTACTTCAATCACATAGCTTAAAATATGGAGAAAAGACAGGTAAAAAAATTATCTTAACCTGTAGTAGTCTTTTTACTTTTTAAAATTTTTATAAAATACACTAATTTCCCAAAATAAAGAATATTATGACACATTGGTGTCAACTTACACAGATGAAAGCTGATGTCAGCTTTTTTTCCTAACTAAAGTTCATTTCACCAAACCTTTATATATTACATGAATATCCAAGTAAAGTATTTTTAAAAATTCAACACACAGGAACATAATGTACAGTGTTTTATAAAAAAATGGTTAATTTAGGAATGATTTCATTTCAATCACATAATATATCTTTTTAAGACTATGAAACCTCTTGCTATTGCAAGGAGACTTTTCAGTTCACGTTTCCATTTCCCAGTTGTAATTCTCAAAAGCAAAAGAATGCAAAGGTTTTTTTTGTTGTTGTTTTTTTTAATGAGAAAACTGTAGCAATGATCTCATTCACTGCCAGGCTGTCTTCCCTCCTTTTGTTTTTAGGACTACCCAGACCCACGACTGCGTGGCACCGGAATGAAACTGGGAGAAGAGGCCAATGACATCAAAGAATGGATATAAAAAGACGGGCTCAGCTGGATCCTGCCACAATTGTAAGGTGTGGGCACTTTCACTCACGCCAAGCCTCCCAGAACTGCAAGGGAACAGTCACACGAGCGGTCTCCTGGCGCATCCTTTACATCTGCCAGCCGGGAGGACAGAAAGGAGCATTTTCACTGATGATTTGCGTAATGGCTGATGGATGCCTTAGCCAGGGAGGGAGCGAGTGAACTCAGAGACCTTGGTCAGTAGTGGCTTTGGGGTAGAGAAAACAGTATGTTTATTTTACACCTCCTGCGTTGGTCAATTCTGAGTGCAAACTCATCTCAACAGGAAATTGCAATGAAATATACACACCATGCACAGTCTATATTACTGTGGGAATCCAGTAACACATGCAAGATGGTGGGAAAAGAAACACACTGGATGAATGTAAACTTTTCACAGTGTTCCTTATAGCCTTGACTTGGCACGAGGGCATCACTTACCACCACTATCTCACAAATGTTTTATGGTGTCCCGGGCATGCAGATGACTTGGGGTAAAATGGGCAATTACACTTCAGAGCCATTCTCAGACAGGAGTACAACTTCAATTTTCCCAACTGCCAACCAATGAATTGAGCTGCTTCTGTTAGAAAACTAAATATATTCCTGAATACATTTTTGTTCAGGGTTGTGCTTTATTCTTCCTTATCCCTTCATTGACTTCATTCTAGAGAAATTAAAAACCCAAAAAATTAAATGGAGGATTAGGTCTTAAGGGTGATTCCTGGCCAACCAGAAAGACAGGGAATCACAAACTTTTTTTCTCTCAAGTTTCTGTCTCCCTACCCCAGGCCCTTATTGATACGGATTCAGTTGTGTGTTTCGGTTTCCCAAAGAGGAAAGCCAACTTAGAGAACCGGCATTTCTGTCTTAAAGAACAAAATACAACATTGTAGGGGGGTGAGGGGGCGGTTCATTCTACACCAAAAAGAATCTCTTGCTCTCAACAGGAGATAATCCAGCTTCTCCTTAGCTATCATTTCATAAATTAATAATTTCTTAAAATCATAATCCAAAGAATTTATCTATTACAAGAAAAATTCAAGTTTAAAAAAGCAAATAAATTAGTTAAGCCTTGTAAACAATTGTCCACTTAAGCTATATATCTTTTTAAAAAAGGTTTCTCTGTATAGTAAATCAGACAGTACAAGGCACACCTTACACATCAGAATCCAGAGCGATAACACCCACACACACGTCTTCTTCACACTCCTCGCTGGTCTAACTGTGCTGGGGGGCACTGGGGTCACACGCCAATCCTTTGCTCATCACCTGTCCATCTGGACGTCCACAAATGTGCTCTTTCCATTAAATTACTTTGTGCTATTTTGTTGTGTGATGTGACTTTAAGCGTTCTCCATGTTCGTCTCCTCAGATGTTTTCCACAAAGCTTCCTGGGAAAAGGCCAGTTTTCCCATTACGCTGTAACGTGCCTTTGAACCATCCATCCTCTCTTTTTTTATGAACAAACACAATATCTCCTTCTTTAAGTTCAAGTTCTGCCTCACTCTGAGGAGGATAGGAAACCACAACCCTGTGCCTAGAAAAGAGAGATGCATTTTAGTTAAGCTGGTTAAAGTAGTGATAAAAATGGTGCACTATTAGTCTATATAGCCTTAGACATGACCATGATGTAGCATGAGTTTTTTAACAATGTTTGTAAAACAACTCAAAATACCACTATTCTCTGTTTAGTAGAGACTTGGTATTATCCGAGTTTGGATACGTGTAACAGTCCGCTATGACCCAGACTGGTTTATTTGAGTGACCTTTACAGGGAGAGCCATTCCCATCCCCTCCCAGTGTTTGTATCTTGGCCATACAGAAGGAAAGTTTTGTTTCATTTCCCAGGACACGAAACGTCTCTGCCCTTCCCTCTCCAAGAAGAAAGGAGTGAATTTACTTGATTCGTGAGACTGGGAGAAACAGCTGAGCAGGGGAGTTCAGCCCTCTTTGAACTGCCTGCCTCTGGGCCGAGTGGGCTCTGCTCAGCCTCTGCTTCCACGTTGTAAGCACAGGGGGGTCAGGCCTGCCTTCGGGAAGTGGGTCTGGAAGTCCATCTCTGTGTTCCTCACACTTGGGTTTGCCATGGATGAGGCAGCAATTCTACGGAAGTTCATCTGCCCCATATACCCCAATTCTCCCTCAGGGAAGGTGTGCTAAGGTCCAGAGATGGAGGAGAGGACCATGGCCACAAATTCAATTCAACACCCCCAGGAATGAGGTTGACCTTCTGATCTCCATTAGTCTGATACCTGTATCTGTTTCTCCATTGGTTCTCAACTCAGACATCAGTGGGAAAAGGGGTAATTATCACCTAATTATCAACCAAAAGACCTGTCAGTGTAGTATTACCTATCCCCCTTTTTCCACGCTCCTTAGTCTCCTTCTGCAAAATTCTGGTTAGCAGCCATGGAAGCCAGAGGGAGGTGACTTGTTTTATGCTCCATATCCTTATATCCTTCTCTATTTTTCCAGCATTATTACTCTCCTTTATTCCTCTCTTGCTTTTCCAACCAAAGGGGGAAAAAAATGGTGGTGTATGGTAGCCAACCTCCCACAATGCATAGAGATGACCTGTGTGACCAATAAAATACCGTGACAATTACAGTGTGTGATTTCTGAGGGTAGGTCATAAAAGGCATTGTGGCTTCAACTTTACTTTCTCTTGGCTCACTCACTCTGAAAAATCAGCTGCCATGGGTGAGGCAACTCAACATCCCTATGGAGAAGACCCCACAGTGGGTAACTAAGGTCTCTTTCCCAAAGCCAAAACTAACTAGCCAACAGCGGTGTGCGTGGACCATCTTAGAACTGGGTCCTCCAGCCCCAGTCAGCCTTTCAGATGACTGTAGCTCAGGTTGACACCTGGACTGTAATCTCAATAAATACCCTAAGCCAGAATCACCCAGATAAGCCACTCCCAAATTCCCAACCCACAGAAAGTGTGAGATGACAAACGTTTATTGTTGTTTTAAGCCACTAAGTTTTGGGGGTAATTTGTCACACAGCAATGGATAACTAATAAATGTGGAAATACATCTTTCTCGGTTGGATGCTAAGTACTGAGTATTCAGTTATAAAGGTGATTTCAAGTTTCTAGTTTCATTTAGTTCTCAAAGCCAGAAAGTGAATTTAAAGCTTCATAGGACCCAGTCTCGACTGTGAGTAAAGGATGTTATGGTTTAAAAAATGACAGAACAAATACTATAGAACTGCCCTGAAACTCATGAAAACCATCAGAGGCTAGTCCTTTCAGAAGATTCACCAATCTCCCTTCCATAAAAACTAGAATCCACTCACATTAGGAAGGACCACGTGACAGTCCCAGACTACTACTCCACTAAAGAAGGCATCCCTGCAAAGGCTAAGTGGCTGCCCAAACAATTCCCGAGCTACTTTGGGCACAGGGACCAAATTATTCCCCAAAGTCTAAAGCAAAAGCACAGCATGGAGGCTGGCTTACCATTTCCAAGGAAGGTTCAGCTAATTCAAATATGAATATTTACAGACCACCAGGCTCAGGGTTCAAGCAAGCATGGAGCGAGGGAGGAGGCCTGGCACTGCGGGGGAAGCCCTGGCCTGAGGGGTTGACATAGCCTTTAAGGTCATTTGGAGCAGCTTAACTTCTGGCCGGTTATCTCAGTTCTCTCGACCTCAGTTTCCCCATCTGTAGAATAGGATTGTAGTGAACTAAACAGGTATTGTCACGTAATGTAGTGAGATTGTAAGTGTGATGCTCTTAGCACGCTATCTGTCACATAGTTCACACCCCAAAATGCTGGCTCCCATTACGATCATATGGCTCAGACAACAGCAGCGGGGCCTGGTGCTTCAAGGAGGTGAAGGATGGGCCCGTCAGTAGCTGGCCACCTCTATTCAGGACAGGAACTTAGGTCACCACCTAGAGAAGACCTGCCTGATAATAAGACATGACAAACTTTAGAATGACACAGTTAGGATTTTAGAATGCCTTCCCTGACATCTTTAAAAGCAGGACAGGGCTGGCCCGGTGGCGCAGCGGTTAAGTTCGCACGTTCTGCTTCTCGGTAGCCTGGGGTTCGCCGGTTCGGATCCGGGTGCAGACGTAGCACTACTTGGCACACCATGCTGTGGTAGGTGTCCCACATAGAAAGTAGAGGAAGATGGGCACGGATGTTAGCTCAGGGCCAGTTTTCCTCAGCAAAAAGAGGAGGATTGGCAGTAGTTAGCTCAGGGATAATCTTCCTCAAAAAAAAAAAAAAAAAAAAAGAATAAAAGCAGGCCAAATAATTTCATCACGGACTTATCTGAAGGAAGAAGCCTAGTCCTTCCTTCAGAAGGAATGAAGGAAGGAATCCAGATAAGAATTCTCAAGTCTGATGCCAACATGCTGAAAAATCCATGTAAAAAGCAATGTGAAAGTTGCTCAAAAATTTGAGCAAAGCTTTATAATTCTGGAAAAACGTGTACACGTGACTCAAACCATATTCAGAAGATCTCTGATGAAATGTATTCCCCACTGGTTCTCTGTGAGCTGCCTTAAAGGTGAAATGGAACAAAAATAGTTCTTGAAAAACTTGAAGTGAATTAGATTAATATTTGCATTTTATAAAATGCACTAAACCAATTTTGTTAAAAGTTTTTTTGAACTAGAACTGCTGCTGGGCTAAGAACATAATCTTCCTGCCAAGTTCCCAGTGGGAGCAAATTTTCATTGCTAAGTTATAAACCTCTGGGGGGTGGAAGGAGAAACCACGTGCATAATGGAAACTGTGACACAGTCTCGATTGTATGAAGACTACCAGGTGCGGCGGTAACAGACTCTGCTTAGAAAGCTTCCAGCTTGGATCCTGGCCTTGAGCCTTGTGAGGTGTCTGCATACAGATTTCCAATACAGACTCTTACGGCCAAACACTGGGCACAACTGGCCAACTATCTCAGGCATGGAAAGGCTTTGCCAAGCAGAATGTTGACAGATCAACAAACAGATGGAAGGCGCAGCTGCGGGGGTCCTTCACAAGTGCGGCTCCACCCTTGGCCTCACTTGGGTTACGCTGTCTTTATGCGAATGGGGCTTTGGGAAGTTGTGAACATCAGGAGTCAAAGGCTACTCCCCTGTGACCTCTGTGGGATCTGCTGATGCACCCTGAAAATCTGCACACCATCCCCTCCTCCTCATGCTCACTGCCACCATCCTGGTGGACGAACTCACTACCTGCCACCTGCAAATACCCTACCTGTCCGCCCTGCCTCGACTCTCTTCCCGCCCTCACTCCACTCTACACGCAACTAACAGATTCATTTTCTTAACTGGCGACTCTATTTGTAGCTATCTATTGCTCAAAAATCATTACGGGCTTCTCAACGCCTGTGAGTAAGGTTAATCCCCGACCTGGTACATAAAGCCCTCAGTGATCTGGCCTCAATGTCTCTTTACAGCTATAGTTACTATTATCTCCAAGAATATACCAAACACTCTTCTAAACCCGAACACGTCCCCCAAATACGGCCTTTATTTCCCCCCCTCAGTACGTTGGTTTCTGTGGTTGCTTACGCTGGGCACTCCCTTTGACGACCCCCTGCCCACCCACACCCAATCAGCCTCTTGAAGCCTCGCTCCAATGCCCCCTGTGGAATCTTCTCTAGCCCCATGGCTGGAAGTCATCTCATGCTTGACCAGATCCCAGAGGCCTCACGGATATTTTTTACGGCACTCAATGATTCTGCACTGGATCACTACCATCTGCATCCCTGTCTCATTTATTCTACCAGACTGTAAGCTGCTTGAGGGGCAAGATGATGGTAAATTCACTTCATATGCCTCACACCACTTAGCATAGTACATATGATAATTCTTAACAAACACACTGAATGACAAAAGAAAAGGCCTAAGTGTATAGTAAGATTTTTTTTAAATGTACAAAGCTCCTTAAAAAGGAAGGACATTCCTGGGGGTGGGGGTCTTGGCCCCACGGCCGAGCGGTCCAAGTTCTGCATGCTCTGTTTCGGCAGCCCAGGTTTGCGAGTTCAGATCCTGGGTGCAGACCTACTCCGCTCATCAGCCATGCTGTGGAGGTATCCCACATACGAAAAATAGAGGAGGATTGGCATGGATGTTAGCTCAAGGCTAATCTTCCTTAGGTGAAAAAAGAGGAGGATTGGCAACAGACATGACCTCAGGGTGAATCTTTCTCACCAAAAAAAACAAAAAAAGGAATGAAATTCCGACACATGCTGCAACATAGATGAACCTCAAAAACATTATGCTAAGTGAAATAAGCTACACACAAAAGGACAAATATCACACAATTCCACTTATGAGGTACTCAGAATAGTTAAAACAGAGATAGAAAGTAGGATGATGGTTGACAGGGTCTGGGGGGAAGAGAGAATGGGGAGTTATTGCCTCATGAGTGCAGAGTGTCAGTTTGAGATGCCGAAAAAGTTCTGGAAATGGATAGTGGTGATGGTTATACAATAATACAAATGTACTTAATGCTACTGAATTGTACACTTGAAAAAAAAGGTAAATTTTATGTATATTTTACAATGTAAAAAATAAGATGAATGAATAACTGAGTAAAGAAAAATAATGGAAAGATTAGTTAAAAAACAAACAAACAAAACATCCAAAGCTGAGTGGCGACTTGGTCACTGGACACTTCCTCCTGCTCCCTGTGAACAGAGAACTTGGGAGGCAGTGTGGGGTGTACAGTGTGGCTCACAGACTCAGCCTTGAATGGCCTCTGCCCTGTGGTGGCTGTGTGACCCTAACTCAGTTTTTGGTGGTAGTTACCAGGGTGAAATTCGAGAAACAGGCTTGCTATGTAAAGAAGCTCCATTGACATCCCAACCCCAATCTTCCTGGTTTGGGCTACAGTGTTCTGGCTTCTATCTAAATGGGTACTTGCAATCTTTTATTAGTATAAATTTTCTACGTCCTTTATTTTTCTGGCTTCTCTCATGTTCTCTATAGTTCATACATTTTTGTTTCTAATTTCCCCTGGTATAGACCAAATTGGACCCCCTGTGGCTCTGGGAGGTACCCGGTCCATCACCCTGGTCTGGGTGGGTAACCTTTTACTGCTTTCTGCCAGCTGCCACAGCAATCTAATATCTAATTAAGTATTTCACTGGCAAAACCATACTAGCTTGCTGTAGCTTGCTTGAAGTCCAAGTAAATTATGTCGATTGCTTCGCCCAGTGGGTTCATTGTCACTGACTCAAATTAATCATACTGCTTAAGCTCGACTGCCTTTCTGTAAATCTCTCTCTATCCAATTTGTATGTTTCCAAGTCTTCTAGCTTAATCCCTGATCAAAGACCATAGGGTCTTTCCTAATTTAGGAGATGGGCTTATAGGTATGTGGTTATCAGTTTAATTCCTAAACTTAAAAATATACACAGATAGAGATGACTTGCTGTGTCTCCTTAAGCCCTTTATCTGTATATTTTTTTGGGTAAGAGAAAAAAAGACTTGTCTTACAGACTTTCTTTTATTTGCCATCCCTTCTGAAATATTTTGTATCTATTTTCTCTTTGCAATTTCCCTAATTGTTTTTCCTCAATCCTTCTAAAATAGAGCCTAAAATATTAGTTCTATTATGTCTGCTGTCATCAATTATACATTTTCTGCTTCCAGGATGTAGCGTTATTTCTTGCATGTTTTCTTCAGTCTCTCTAACAAACACAAAAGAATTCTTTTGTTCCTTAGAGACTTGTCTCAGCTGACACCAAGACCTGTCAACACACTTCAAGGTTCATCCTCCTTATTGTGAGATTGCTGAAGTCTTTATACCACGTGAATGCTTCTTTCCATTGACAGCACTGGCTGCCCTGGTCGCATTCTTTTACTTGAGATTTATGGGACAGGGTCACAGTTTGAGAGGAAATTTTATGCTCGTTCTCACTGTAAACTGTAGGTGAATCCTATCTTACACTGCACCAACATTATACACTGAAAAATATTTCTCTGAAATTCAATCAGTAAAAATTTACCAAAAGAATCCCATGCTGTGTCTGCCCTTTGCCAGGGCAGGAGTTGTTGATATTTATATTGTGAATCAAGGAATCTAAGACCCTCAAAGGTTTTCTGAATCATACTGATATGAAAGTTAATCTGTCCCTCACTTTGAGCATTAAGTACTTTTTATTGTGTTGAAATTTTTGAAATATTAAAACAGGTAATCCCTAAATGATATACTTGATTGCTTTCTCCTAACCAAAACATTTCATTCCCAGTGGATAATAGAACGTTTTCCTATACTACTTGTTTCCATACATCTTTCCTGTTGTTTTTATAGTTTTTATAGACAGTAGTTATAAGCAAATAACTACTATCACTTATCATTGTATGATGGAAAAAGGGTGTGAAAAGTTGATCAGGCTGGCTATTATATTTAATATCACATTGAACACACGGGTTGTAAAAATATAAACTCGAGCAGAAATCTTCTCCAAAGACCCCTTTCCCACTTGTAAAGATTGAAATGGTTATAAAAAAGCTGCCAGAGAGTTCCAGCGGGCCCGTGCCCATCTGTCCCATCGTTAAACTCTCCCCATTCCCTATCTGATGGGCATCTCCCACTCCCCGAATCGCCATCACCTGTCTGCATTAGCAATTTCTCCTTTTCAGATGCACTGAACAGCAGGAGCCTGCTGTTAGAAATGAGCTCCTCTAAGAGGAAGGGGCTGGAATGCAGAAGCCACAGAGATTGAGGACATCTGGCAACTGAAAAGGAATGTATAATGGGGGAGGGAGGCGGCAGTGCCCAAGCCAGTGCCTAGGGAGAGTACGGGCAAAGTGAACCATCACTCAGAACAGTCACACAAACACCACAAATGACAGGGAAAAGAGGACAGAGACGCAGGGCACAAATGAAAACCCACAGATCAATGCCTGGGGGGGAAGAGGAGCCTTTGTGACCAAAAGAAAGTAAACAAGTCACTGGACTAACGCCAGGGCCAGAAGGCGCAATCCCTGGAAAGCAGAGGAATACCGCAGGAGAAAGGGCTGACCCTCTGAACAAAGGACTAAGTGATTTTAGGACAAAATTTCAAAGCTTTACTAAGAGCACAATAGAGAAGGGAAAAGGTAGAATGATTTTATTTGTGGGGAAGGAATACTTTTTAGGATAATGTCTCATTCCAAAATTTGTTTTATAAGGATTAGAACTCCAGGAAATTATTTCACCTCCCTATAAAAATATGTAATAAATTGTCTACTTTGTACTTAATGCACACAGGTTGTATGAAGTTTATTCTTTTCCAGTTTATTTTTTGGTAAAAAACTATGCCCCCCTAATTATATGAATGAAGGCCTCAGATTTTGGTGGGTACAAATGCTCATCTGAAATACAGAATTAAGGTGAATTTAAGACATTTTAAGGCATAACACTTCATAGTAAGATTTCAAATCAGTAACAGAGAAAATGCTACCTAAAGGCAACACCTCCACCCATTAGAAATTTGCTTTATTTATGAAATGCAATACAGAGGGAATAAAGCTTACAGAAACAATAAAACAGATGACGCTTCTTAAAACAAACGTTTATGTATCTCTGCATTATGTGAAAGCGGTCCACTATTTTTAGTTTACTTCATGGTGTTCTTCTGGGCAACAAACAGTGCTTCACTTTTAATTCATATTATCTCAGCAGATACTTGTCTTATTATATATATTTTTTCTTTCCTAATGCACTCCTAGAACCCCAGTGCCTGTATCAAACAGAACTGCCCTCATTTGTAATCATTATTCAAGGCCAGAATCACTAAAACAGGGTCCGTTGTTCTGAGTGTAACCGAACCAAGTCAGTGGGTCAGAAGGAGAGTCAGATCTCTGAGAACTCAGCCACACTCTCCTGGCTCAGGAAGAACAGAAAGAGAATTCTCTTAGTGGGCAGAATTCTCCAGCTGCTTTACAACAAGCAGGTACTGATGTGAACCTTTAATAAAAACGGGCAAAGGATAAAACAAGAAAGCGATTGCTGACAATGGAAGAGAAGCTGGAAGGAAGTAGAGGCAAACAGGTTTTCAGTGACTGACAGATTTCATCCGGATACAGCTCTGAAGTGGTTGTCTAAAGAAAAAACACGAAAAAAGGCTGGGGGCCCAACCCGTCTAAAAAATACGGGAGGAAAAAGTAGAGACTAGAGTATGTTGCAGCAAGTAGTAAAAGAAAACCAGTGCTTGATTATTACAAATTCAGTTAAAAAAACTTAGGAGGATGTGGGAAAATATCTTGAATATGTGAATAAATATTCCAGCATAAAGCCTTCTAGGCATTTCTTAGTTTTCTCGTGGAACAACACTGAACTCACCTTTCACAAACAACAGGCCTAGACTCATTCACGACAGCGCCCAGGGAGGAGCACGGCTGACGAGGAGGTGGAGCGATGGGAACAGCCGAGTCCAGGGAGCTGGCCTTGCGGTGAAGAGCATCCTGGGCCAGAGCCGCGCCTGCAGCCCCCGCTGTGGGCGGGCCATCCCCATCCGCGGGGCAGGAGCCTGCCCTGCCGTGGGCGCCCCCTAGTGGCAGCTCAGGACCCACCGCTCCCTGCAGAGGCAACTCGCCGCCACCCAGCTCCACTTCCAGGGTAGGTGAGGCTGGAGGGGACACTCGGGGCTTACGTTTAGTGGAGGCGCCAGAAAGCAACTTCAACAAACCCTTTTTTTCTTTCTAGAAAAAAAAAAGAGTACATTAGTTGGAGACAGACGGTACTGTTGCTATTGTAATCTATAGGGTGCTACAGTTTCAATTTTTGATTTGATCTTTTAAAATTATTTCTGTGGATATTTGGTTATTCATGATCTAGCTACTAATTTCGGTAACCCAACCTTTTGCTTCTCTTTCTTCTCCCTTTCGGCCTGCATGTTTTTGCTTGTTTTAGACATTCCACTGTCCATCCCTGTCTTCCATTTAGGTAGAATAAGCAGGTAAAAAAACTCAAAAAACTCACCAATTCACATCTCAGGCTTGGTGAAGGCAGAAGTAGACATTTTAGGACAAAATGGAAATTTCAGATTATGGATTTAATTTCCTGAAATTCTGCCTATCTACCTCTAATTCTTGTGTGCTGAATTAAACACAAACCTAAGAGCAGTTTACTTTCCATCCACAGACTTGATTCCTACCATTTATGGGTAGTGAGGTCTTGATCAAGGTTAAGGGCTAAACCACTTCTCACATGTCACCACCTTGATGAAATTTACCCAGCCAATAATAACAGAAGTCAAACCATTTCTATTGTACAAGTATCTGTAGAAAGCCAAAAACAACTCCACAAAATTTTAAATAAAGCTTCAGTACAATCAAAAACATTGTCTCTTTTTGCAAGCAAATGTACAAAAAAGAAGCTTTCCCAGCAATCTCACTCCACAGAAACCATCTCTTGAATCTTTGTCTGTTTTGACACTTCTGCTCTTTGTTCTGCTAGGAAAACCAGATCTCGGCCAGCTCTTCTTCATTCCAAACTCTAAGTGTCAATGTTCTTGCTGATGACCAAGCATAGATAACAATCATCATTTGAAATTGTTTTACTAAGATGTCACCTGCATCATAAATTCCTCAGAATGGAAACATTGCTTGAAAATAAAATTATTTCATAGAAAAATAATTCTTTAGAAAACTCTGTAGGAAAATTGGAATTATTAAGGTCCACTCGGAGAGAAATAGAATTATGAGGGGTTCACAAGGAGATATAACACTGAGGAATTTTTCTTGAGAATGAGTTAGTTCATACTCAGTAAAAATCCCTTGGGGAAAAAGAGTCTGAAGCCATAATAACACAGTTCCATTAGAGACACGATGACAGAAAAAAGGAAGAGACAAAGGTAATAATTTATTGGATGATGAAAAAGCATCCCAGAGAAACTGCACCAGAGACCCCCATTTACCTAATATTGCTCACAGTATGTGTGTGTTAACCCATGGGTTAGAAACAGAGGGAGGGGAAAGATAGTGGGGAGCGGTGGTCATTTCTGTACATGCTCAACTCAGGCTGCCAACGAGCAGAGCCGATCAATCGATCTCCTACCCCTCTTCTCCCTGCTCCAGCCTGAGGAAGATTCTTTTGCATTTCTCTTCAAGGCCTGGCCTCAACTCCCCTTACTGGCTTTGCTTCATTCAACTTCACATTTTCCAAGGGGTTACTATATGCATGCCAATAAATGATCCTATAAACTTGGCTACCTGCTTGAGTGCAGTACCTGTACGTCATACACCTCTGTATCATGCACAGTGCCTAGTGTAGAGACCGTGCCTACTGAGCTGAGAGGCAAAGACTGGAAAAGGATGAGACAGGTGGCAGAAGGGAAAATATTTAGCTAGTCCCAGGGCTAAGGAAATAAGAGAGGATATTTTGGATTTCCCAAATCCAGTGGTGAGAAAGATTCCCCTCTACACAATGGCCAATGAAGTGGGCTGATGAAACACCTGCCAAGGCTACTGCCACACTTCTTGAAGGAAGCCTGAGGTCTGGGGGGCCAAAAAATGAGCTGGGAAAGAATAACATCAATAGCTTATCCTTCTAAGGAACAGTCAGCCACTACTTCCAGCTATTCCTGCCATGATGTAAGAAAGCACACTCTAATTCCTGGACCCCCAGAGATCCAGTGTGAACATCAAGTCCGTTGATAAATTACAATCTTAGCAAGTCACAGCTAAAGATGTTTCTTAAAAGCTCAGTTCCGGGCACTCAGAAAAATATCAGTTAACTGAATGGTGCTCAGGCCCTAAAGTGATTAAGAAGAAAAATGACTTGGTTCATCTAAAATGATTAAACACATTAAATACAGCTTGCTTTAATGACTTCTAAGGGATGTGTTATCATCATCAGCCATTGCTAACTACCCACAGTGCAGAAGGCAGAGGAGTAGGTGTGGTGTCAGGGTGTGGGGTAAGTGGGAGTGCTAACACAGAAAAGATGCTGCCCTGGTGCCAAGGAGCTGTGCTTTTTATATTATATTCTGATGGTTTCTGCATTAGCAGAAATGTGCCACTTGAGAGAGAGAATTTTGCAAACTCAGACACTTATCATCTAAGGACACCTTTGTTTTTTCAAAATCCAACAGCATAAATGAAAACTACAGATGAATTAATAAAGACTACACTTCAGCAAAGCAATTTTTTGAATGTAATGTTAGCATGCATGAAAAAAGGGCATACACTTTAACAGAAACCTTAATAATTCTTCTCTTGTAGGTTTTCCAGGAAATTATTCCTAGATGAAATAATGTTTTTACAGTCATAATTTTCTCTTCAGAAGATTTGATGATTTAAAACCACATCTCATAAAAAAGAACTATTTGGGTCAGAAAATAATCACCAGATAGCCAGAAAGAGTAACTTTTACATATAAAAATAATTTCTGAAGATTAACTTAATAACTTTCTATTAGTCATATAACAGAGGATGAGTAGAATATGGGAAACATCAAGTCAGAACTCCTTCCCAAGCAAAAATAAATTTCATTTCTACCCACTGCCTCTTCCTCTTTATTCCTCTTCTTGTCCTCAGATGTACAGAGAAAGCAGCAAAAGATAAAAAGTCTTCCTGGGCCATAGGTCATCAAAAATCGACATAGTCAGGTTCCTGATAATCAGAGTCGCTGTTCTTAGGGAAGGCACCTCAGAAACTTAATTCATATGATTGTCTAATAACAATCACTCATTTTTCAACAAGTATTTATTGGGTGTCTAATATGAGCCAACAATGTACTAGGCTCTGGGAACACAGTAGTGAGTAAGACAACAAGCAGTCACAGTCTCTAGCATGGCTGCAAAACAGGCACTCTGCGAAAACATAAAGCAGAGTAAAGAGAGAGAGAACGACTAGGGGGCGCTGTCTGAGATGGGGGGTTCAGGAAAGGCTTTTTAAAGAAAGTACATAGGAGAGAACGGCCATGTGAAATTCTAGAGATAAACACCACCGGGTTCAAGAATCTCGTTAAATGCTTTTACAAGGATTTCCACATGCATTCCTCGCACCCACCTGATGACAGACGAATCAAAATCAATCTTATTCTCATTGTCTAAACCTCTCTAAGCTTGCCCAAAACTACGCAGCTCGTAAGGAGTGGAGGTGGGATTTGAACCAAGCCTCGCTCTTCTTTGAGTTCAGCACAGGCAACCTCTCTAGAAGCACCTCCACTCTGTGGAATAAGAGCAGATCCATTTACTGATGGCTGCAGATCATAAAGGCCGTCTGGAGCCGAACTCTGTGTGCAGATCTGCACTGTCCAGACCTGGTCTGGATCCCAGCTGTCAGCAGGGGCAGGAACAGTGACTCTGACCACTTAACAGGGAGAGTGGGCTTCTCCTTAAGAGAATGAAATGGCGAAGCCCACAGACCATCTTGTTTTTGACAGGGAAATAAGAACTGGGAGAAAGGAAAATCATGTGAGCAAAGAAAAGTGATCAGTAAGGACTTCAGGCAAGTGTTCAGAATAGAAGAAATTGGGAATTTAAAAACTAGATGGGTCCTCTGCTTAAGAAAAACCAAGAATAATGGCAAAGTTCCTCAAACATGAGCAGACTGACTGAAGAAAGCCTGCGGTTGGCTCCTTAAAGGAAAGAGTCATTAGCAATTGCAGGGGTAGGGGGAAGGTTTGAGGCACTAGATGTTGACCTTTTGTGGCCTACTTGGAGGAATGCCGTCTTTCAGGAACAAATCCAGGATAAGGCGGAGAGCAGGAGAACCAACCCCCACTCCTGCTGATTCGTCTGAGAATAAATGCCAATGTCAGAGAAGACTTACGAAGCATCTCCAGACTATGAAGGCTGAAGCAGGAAATGGTAGTACTGGGAGGGTGTCTTCTTTTCTTTATCTGATGTGAGGGTTAAAACTGTTAAATTAATTAAACCATTCGAGGTTTAATTAGAGGCCATTAGTCTGAGGTGGTTCTAATGCCTTAGCAACCTACATTAGCAAACCAAAACCTAAGCCAAAAATGCCTCAAGGTTAAGACATAAAAACCTAAGACAACCAATCACAACAGCCAACTAGGCTTTCCCAAATAAGGCAATGGTTTGAGCTATCGCCAATCCAATAATTTCCTTGCTTGCTTCCATGTCTTCTCTATGAAAGTCTTGGCCCTAGTTCCTGTCAGCTGACTGCTCCAAACCATCTCCAGTGCGGGGCTACCTGATTTGTACATATTTTTGCTCAAATAAACTCTTAAAACGTTTAATATGCCTCAGTTTATCTTTCATCAGAACTTAGAGAATATAAGAACAGTCAATTACATAACTGGTGCTGAAGAAAAAGACTTTATGATTTTATTTACTGGATGAAAGCTTAATATACCAAAATAATATTTGTTATATTTTAGTATATGGGGGAAAAAGCATATATACATCATAAATCAGTGGTTTTCTTTGCAAACTTGGATCATGTTTAAGTTTTCTGTTTGGATGTCCAGATTCTCTCTAACTTCTAAAGAAATATGTATAATTAAAAATCTTTTATAATAAGAAAACTATATATATACACACACACATGCACACACACATACACATACACACACATGTATACATAGCATCTCATAAGGACTGGGAAACACATTTGCCTGGAGACTAGCTGATCAAACAATGAAGCCTTTAACTGAGTATGAAACTAGAAGAATGTCCAGATAAAGCTATTAAACTGATAACTGTAAAAGATATCAGGGATCTCATAGAAAGAAGAGTAATAATCATAGAAGGCTCAGGATTTCAAACAAGAAACAACCGAGATGATGGTTGGAAAGATATTACATGAGTTTAAAATGCCTACTTATCAAACCACAGAATGCAGTTACCAAAACCCACTAGAGATTTTAAGTCAGGGACAAAAACACCTTTCTGAGACTTTGTGAGATAGGACTTCCAAATAAAATATTGCTTAAAAGGAACAACCCAGCTAAGTGAGGAGCTGCAATAGTCCTGTATGTATCTGGAAAAGCTACGTGCCTTTGTGGACACCCGTGGCAGCCCACTGCAGAACATGTGGGTACGGAGAAGAGGAGGCGGCAATCATCAAGCCATCATTTGGGGGATACACTGTGCACTGCCTGGAGAGTTTATGTAAATGGATGATGCTGAGCCCATAATGACAAAGGAAGATAGAAATAATGAGGGAATTGTCCAACACCTGGATATTTGCTGGAAATCTCAAATAAAACTAGAATCTCTGATACAGTTAGAATCTCTTATAGAATTTTTCCTTGACTTGCTGATAATTTCATCTCATGGAAGGTTGAGCAAACTGCAACTTGGGATATAATTCTGATCAACTAGGGAAAAGTAGGGACCAGGTAAGTAAGGGTAGGGGGTACAGGGGTTCAGCTGGTGAAGCAGAAATACCAAGGACTTAGAGGTAAGCACACAAAGAGCAGTTGACTATAGTCAGGTCTGGACTCTAAAGTTTAAAAGAACTGATTTTGAAAGTTCAAAGAAAATATATGCATGACCTAAAACTCAAAAGGAAAGATATTTCAAGAGGAATGGGAAGACTCTCCAGAATGAAATTCTAACCATACAATTGCAAATTACCCCAGTAGATGGAAACGTAGAGGCATCTGAGGGTATGGATGTGATCCCCTGGGGAGCAGTCGAAAAGGGCTCAAAGTTTTAAAGGACTCCCACGAAAAGATCAAGAGAAGGGCCTTCAGAAAGAACATATCACAGCTCGTAGCAATTCAAGAAAGCTAAAGATCAGAATGGGCTTCAACTTGCAAAAATGCTAAAGATCAAAAAAAAAAAAAGGTAGAGAGACTGCTTTAAAGTTATGTTTGAAAGGAGAAGAACAAGAAAGACATCCACCTGCTGTTTGGGATGGATGGTGGTTCTCAGATGGTATGAAGAAAGGAAAGGATAATCTTCCGACTGGAAAGGAAGAACAAACCTTGATAAAAGGGAAATGGGTGAAGAGATTGGGATTTAGAGATCAAAAGACTACTCAATAGGTTGAATTCACCCCTGGAACAGAGAAAACTAACAGCTGAAATGCAACCAATAATCTGCAACAGATCCTGGTGAATCTGGGATCAGGTCAACTCAACAGGCCAAAGAAGGGCACATGCAGTGTTAAATTTCAAAAAGAAGACCACAATGCACTTTGCAGACAGTCTGGAAAATTCTAGAACAGTGTAGGAAATGAAAGGTTTACTTAGAAAAGGAAATGAGACTGAGGAGGAGACTCCTCCAGGAGACACTTGCCAACTGTAAGTAACAGTCGAAATGATGGGGCAATTGGGGCACTGTTTGGATGGGAGAACATCAAAGACATTTTGATCTCAACAGGCACCTGATAAGTTCTCCCATGATATCCTTGTAGACATGATGAGGAATGTGGGGCTAAATGACACTCCAGTCGTGTTAATCATGGAATTACTGACTTTCTATCAAACAGGAGAAGTCTCTCTAGTGGACTTGGAACATTAAATGAGGTAGCAGATTTAGGAAGGGAAAATTTGAAATCTGTGACGTGAGGAATAGTGAAAAATCTTCAAGAATGTAGCCTTCAAAAAAGAGAAGATAACCCTGAAATACCTCAAGGCATCACATGGAAACAAGATCAACATTTTCTACGTAGTCCCTCAAAATAAAGAAAATGGCATATGACACTCTGGAGCCAGGGCACACGTGGTCAATAAGGTGTCCAAGCAGAGGTCAGCGGCCATTTGTCAAGGATCAGGACTCAACAGGATAACCTGTAAGTGCAGGTAGTAGTTGTTGCTGTAACAAATTACCACAAACTTCGTGGTAAGAATCGGGTCCTAAAATCAATGTGTAGCAGGGCTGCATTCCTTCTAGAGGCCCTAGGGAAGACTGTTTCCTTAAGTTTTCCAGATTCTAGGAGCTGATTGCATTTCTTGGCTTGTGGCTCCTCCCTCGCATCACTCTTATCTTTGATTCTGATGTCACCGCTCCTTCTCTGGCCCTGATCCTCCTGCCTCCCTTTTGTGAAGATCCTTGCGCTTATATTGAGGACACTGGGGTAGTCTCCTCATCTCAAGACTTTTAATTGAAGCACACCTGTAAAACCCCTTTTGCTACATAAGGAAATAAATCCTCAAATTTTAGGGATTAGGATATGGACATCTTTGGGGAGCCATTACTCTGTCTCGCAGGGGTCCCTTTCAAGCCTCAGAGATTCAATGTATTCTTTCCTGGTAGGGCAGGGGCTCAAGACTCCCTGTTCTCCTCAGTGACAAGGGCCCTGAGTCACACTGTCCAGAAACCTTCAAATCTAAACTACAAAATAATTCTTTTAAAGATATTGACAAAGTTGAACATGTCAGTTTGAGCACAAGTTTAACGTAGTTAATTATAAACACTGAACAGATACCAATCTCTTTCAAAAACGCTTATGTTAACCCAACAATTAAATATTAACTTTTTAATAGGCTGTAAAGTTTATTTCCTTATAAACCCCTACTTACAGGCTTACCTAACCATTTAAGTAGAGCGACATACATCACCAGGTGGCTAAGAGTTTATGATTACCCCTGAGCTTTCCAGAACTGGGCTATACCTTTAAGAGAAATGCACGAAATACTGAGGAAAAAGTCATGATTATAAAACAATTATCCAGACTTTGTCATCACTCTTCTCTTTCTGTTCACATTTAATCACCATCAATTTCCCTTGCCTCCAACCACCTGTCTCCAAACCCAACCCTAGGTTAGTCTTTCAAACACAGCTTTCCATTTATATTTTCTTTCAAATTCAGCCTCAAATGAGAGATTTGTAAAAGATCTATGGATTTAATAAGTAAATTTTCCCCTATATTCCAAGTCAAGAGAAAAACTATCCATGCTGATTATAATCAAATATACTGTAGAAAAAACAAATCCACGAATAACACTTTTGATAAACAGTTCCAATCCCTTTATATATTAAATTTTTTTGCAGAACTGTTAACAAGAAGCCACAGTGACTGAACAGGAAGAATGAAGGACCGCACAATGAGGAAAGAACAAGTAGACAAAGGGGAAAGGAAATTCCTCCATGAGACGTAAGCTGCATGAGGAGTAGTGACTAAGTCTTATTCACTGTGGTCTCCACAACATCCAACACAGGGTCTGGGAACTGGTGGGCGTTTAAACGCAGAGAAACATGACTCTAGCACCTGGCAGAGTGACTCATACATGGTGGGCACTGAAGGATCGTTGAACAACGAGTCTTTTCATCACTAGAAAGCACGGGACACAACATAAGCAGAGAAAGAGGACGCTGGTCTTACTTTACTGTCCTTGTCTGGCTTGGTTGCTGAACTGTTCCCACAAGCTGATGAAGCACTGTCAGGAGAGGTGGGAAGTCCGGGGAGAATGGTCACTGTTCGGCCACTGGGCTCAGTCTCCAGAGAGGCAGCGGTGATGTTCGGGGAGGTCAGCGAAGCAGCTGCAGCACAGGCCAGGGGGACATTGACTCGACCCATATTGACGGCAGCAACGTGGGTGGCAGGGCCTGCCATTGAAGGCGGAGGTTGTGGGGAGGCCAAGGAATGGTGGGGCAGGCCCACAGACGCAGGGCCCAGGCAGGCGGCATTCTGTACCTGGATGGGTGTCACCGCTGCTGTAGGGCGTTCTTGGTTGTGTGCTGCAACTGGTAAGATGACAGGAGGGAACACAGTAAAATTCGACTTTCTAATAAATGCTTCTAACTGAAACATGAGTCATTTCACTGCATCAGACCATAATGAAAGGTTGCTATTGCATTTATTATAATAGATAATGGATGTATGGGTGGTTTAAAAGCACTTAATCTTAGCTGGGTCCCTACACACTATTTTCCTTCCAGATTAGCCTGTGAGTCTGTTGAGTGCTTAGAAGCTCAGCTATTATCCCAAAGCCCTTCAGCTAGACAGAAGGCCTTTCCACGGAGTGAGAGACACAGAGCCAGTTTCTGATGGTACTCTACAGTGTCAAACTAGGTTGGCCTCCAGTCCTTTTTTTAATTATTCTCCCTTTTCTTATTAAGCATTTTCTTTCTTTTGGTTTTTCTGATAGAGGTCACAAGTTTACCACACCATCGTTCCCTAAGACTCCTGGTAGGTTTTCAATGCTATAGAAAGAAGAAAGCTATTTAAGATCCCACTGGATCTAAAACAGACATGTGACTAAGTTCACCAAAGTAATCAGCACACTGGTGAACAGAGTAGCACATGGTGGTCGCAATGCTGCAGCTGCAGCTGCAGCAGTGAGATCTGAGATCATGTGATCTTGACTGTGATCAAGTACTATTGACATTCTTAGAATCAGCCTAATTTCTTTCAGACTTTTGATCCGTGACTCAGGCTTCAATTAACGTGTAGGGCAGGCTTAGCCAAAACAAGCAGATGGAAAACGCCACTGACTAGACTGTGCCCGCTTCTATTTCCTAATGTTATTCTTTATTTTTATTTTACATGTGCTTTTCTCAACATCTGTTGTAAAAGATCTGGTATTAGGCAGGCAACCCTGATGCTGTCCGGTCTGGTGTCCTCCTTACCTGTCCTCACAGCATTGCGGGCCTGGTTGACTGTCATTTGCCCAGTCATGTGCAACAAGACCTTAGCCTGAGGGCTGGTCTGGATATGAGCTGCTGACACCACTGCTGTGGGGACAACACTGGGACTCGCAGCCATACCATTGCCCTGGAGCTTCTGGGCAGGCCCTCCTGCGGTGGAAGGACTGACCATGGTCACCCCTCGACTTGTCTGACCAGCAGTAGACATAGGGACTTTAGCTTGGGAAGCATTTGTCACCGCCCTGCCAAGACAGAAACAGACAGAAAGCCCAATCCATCAGTGAAATGGGAGACAGAACAATTAAATGCAAGAAAAATGACTCAGAGCTTTAAGAGAGAACATTCTAAAAAATGAATGGAATTATTTTTACAAAGTGTAAGAATAGCAAATTCAAGGAAAACATGTCCCTGAGGCAGAGAAAGGTCTTAAAATGTATTCTGAGTCACAGAGAATCACACATCATACTTTGCTCAAGAATATACAGTACTGGGTTCAGCTTTCCATATCAAGACCAAACCTCTCCACTGACTTGAAGGCCCTGGATTCTTCTGCTTCATCTATTGAAGAAGCCAGGTTTGCTACCTTACAATATTCCACATTTCCATTGCCTTGCTCATGTTTTCTGTCCTCTCCCTAACTGCCCCCAGTCCTGTATGTGCGTGTACACACACTCTTGGAATGTCCTCTCTGGCTTCTCTTGACCTATCTTAATCTCATTTATGTTTCAAGATCCAGCAGAAACCCTGTCATTTCATGAAGCCTTGCCTAAGGCTCAGGCTTAAGACTTTATGATTCTGCTCTGTTCACGTGGATTTCTTCCCTGTGGCCCTTAAATACAAAATGCAGTGTATTATTTTTTAGTAAATTCCTTAATAAATACTCTTGACTCACAAAAAGTTCCTTGAAAGCAGGGCTGGTGTGAAATGGTTCTTTTCCATTCCTCCAGTATTTGCACAGTTACAGGGGTAGAGCCAGCTCTAAACTAATACGTACTGGCTGAATTTAATTAAATTAGGTTCAGTGTAGTTTTGTGTAATGTATTTTCTTGATATTCTAAATTTATTTAAATGACAATTCTATATATAGTAACTTTCTATTAAATAAAATACCTTATTAACTCGAACGTCCTTATTATTTACCATGAAGAAAAACAGAGAACTTACTATAGGTAAGCATCTCTCCAGAGACTTTGAATAATTTGTTTTTGAATCTTATGAAAATGTTTTCCTTCATTAACTTAACTTTTTGTTGTTGTCTGGTTTGTTTTATTTCCCTTAGTTGTTATTTGTTTCCCACCAGGGAGGGTCTATTTGCCACCTTCTGGATGGGCCGAATCCTGAATGTAGATTTTTAACATATACAGAAAAGAGGGTTTATATTGATTAAAAATCTGCAAGTCAAATTAAAGCTAACGTTCTGTCACCACCTGCAACAATAGTGATTTCCCTTTGATTAGGCTGCTGGCCAACCTATGAATCAAGGCCAACAGCTGACAAACATGTCAGTTCATTAAGCCATTTATTTAAAATCCAGGGGTTTGAGGAATGATTTAACGCAGTTTAACCTGGACCATTCTGAGCCCCGCAGCCAAAAACTGGGGCTTCCTCAGTGTTGATACCATTATAGGTCATTTCCTTCAGTTTCCAAGGCTACTTTCCTCAGTGACCAGAAGGTAGACTATCTTTAAATAAAATAATGAAAATTTTGTATATCTAAAGCGCATACTTCCTAGTACCCTATAATGGGCTTTCTCAACCTCGGTGACATTTTGGGCCAGATAATTCCTTTCTGTGGGAGCCTATTCTGTGTATTGTAGGATGTTTAGCAGCGTCCTTGCTTCTATGCACTAGATGCCAAGAGCAACCTCGTTCCCCACCCCACTCCATAGTGATAACCAAAGATGTGTCCAGACATTGCCAAATTCCCCTGGGGAGCAAAACTGCCCTCAGTTGAGAAGGATGAAGGACCTACATTATACTTAAGAAATTTTATTTCTGACTGTATTACAGAAATTAATTGCCAGAATTCAGAGGTTGTCATCAAGCTACTGGAATAAATACAGAGCAGACCACCTGGGTTTGGGGACTTCTTCACTATGAGAGCTCAGACACATTATTTAATCTCTCCGTGCCTCTATTTCCTCATCTATTAAGTGAGGATAATAGTAACACCTACATCCATGAGTTGTTTAAGGACTTAAGAGTCAATATATGCAATGTGTTTAGAAATCTGCCTGCTGGCACATAGTAAGCATTATATAAACATGTAAGTATTGGTAATATAAGCTTTTGTGTATACTAAACACCACATTTTTTGTTTTCTAGCAGAAAAATGTTGAAAATGGTGTAGTTGTGTCTTGTCAACATATAACTTAAAGCAAATAACTTACAACCCAGTACATTTATTGGTAGAAACCTATAATTTCACATACATCCATGTGAAAAGTAACCTAAGAATTTTAGAGTTAGAGGGATTTCAGCAAATATAGATACGGATTTTTAAAATGTTGGTTATATAACAGGCAATTATAACGTGAGAAGAAATATGGATAGGCTGAAAACCATGGACAAGAACAAAGCTGCTCTGTTTAGAACTCAGTGAACCATTTATTCAAAACCATACCTCGTGACTGGTGCCACGTAATTGCCAGGGAAAACCCCGATCTTGCTGGTGTGCATCGAAGTCCCTTTGAACCAGCCATCTTGGCAACGCTCAAACACTAAAAACATCTCCCCTTTTCTCAGCTCCAGCTCATCCTCTTTCCGGGGAGTGTATGGATATATAGCAACATACCTAGAAGGGAAAAGAATATTTGATTTCAGGTGGAGTAGCAGATAATACCCCAAGATGCTCAAAACTCTTCTCTGCTACAAAGTCTTGAATATTTTGTACAAACATAAGCAGAAAGTATAATCCTTTAACCTGTAAGCACCAGGGTAATTGTCCATTGAAAGAGGTTTTTCCATCCACATTTAAAAGACAGAGGCCTTTCTGATTAAGAACCGCCAACCTGTTCACGGTCCTGCTGGTGTGAAGGTGACTATCCCATCAAACGGATTTTGTGTGGTGTGAAAGAATTAATGCAGCTTCCCAGAGGGCCCACCCTGCTGCTGGGGATTAGGTACCCACTGGGAAAACTGAGCTCTTCAAATGGCACTTGTTAGACTTGGGAAGTAGCCCCAAATGAGGACATATGGTGTGAAATCCCACTGGGAAGCACAACGTGCTGCCAGCCACACACAAGTCAAACCTGGAGCCTTGGGCTGCACCTGCTTTTGTATGCCCAGCCAGGAAAAAGGCTGGATTTAAAAAATCAAAGGGAAAGTAAGTCCAGATCATAGAGAGTGCAGAACAACCCCATGATGCAAGGTGACTGTGTCACCAACATCTGGAAACCAGGCAAGCAACACTAACTAATAGTTTTTACCGCTAGTTCTAAACTGTTCCATGTATAAATTCACACAATGCAGGATCCACAAAAATCTAGCCATATTCTCCCATCAGTAAACTCAGAACAAGATAATTAGACTTTTCTAGATACATATTGCTGGGGACTTAAGAGTTTTCACATGCATACTCCAACTAGATCTGATTTGTGTGGAATATCTTCCTATTCTTTAGTATTCTAATGCAAGGAAAGAAAATGGAGACAAAAAGCTCAAACAGGAGTAGTACAAAAAGGCAGATCCATCCACTATAATGCTATGAAGAAGCAAAGAGCCAGGTTTCCCTGAATTCTGAAAGGCCGTCACTCAGCAGGATGGCCGCCTGGCGAGCTCATGCATTAGGCCCACTTTGTTTCAGCAGTTTCTGAATTATATGCATGACTGGGTAGAAGTTTGCAGGACACAAACAACTTGGATGAGCCCTAAGCCTGTCACCAGCTCATATCAGAAAGGTGTTTCTCTACCTCTGCTGTTTGGGCTTAGTTTGAAATGAACGTTTACGCAGTAACAGATGACACCCTCACTTACACACTGGGGCGAGTCTGAGGCCGTAAATGTGCAATCTGCTCTGTGGGTCCTGCGCTGGGCCTCGGTCCCATCCCAGCAGCAGCAGCAGCAGCAGCAACAGCAGCAGCGCCCGGAGGTGTGGAGGCCAGGAGAGGGGGCGGGGGAAGAGGAGGATTCATAGTCTGGTAAAAGAAAGAAAGAGAGGAAAAAAGAAGGAACAAAATATTTATTTACATCTTTTATGGAAGGTGGGAGGGAAAATGAATCAGAAATCCACGGAGAAAGACTTTAATGGAATCCACACAGAGCAGAACGAGCAGGCTACCTCCCATGAAAGCCTCTTTTTTTTAAACTTCATCTCTTGTTAGTCTTTAAAGATCTTAAAGCCACAGCAGCCTTTTTAGCAAACAGGTAAGTAATCACACTGGGGAGAAGGGGAAGAAAAAAATGAAACAATTGCATGTACTTTTAAGATTAATAGCACTTCTAAGTACAGACTTGGACAAGAATCCAAATGCCTTTCAAGGGGGCAACTATAATGTCACAGCGCTTGCTAGGAATTAATTTGTGATTGTTTCTGTAACCTGAAACTTAAACACAACACAAAACAATTTAGCTGCATTCTGTCTCAAACCATTCCCTCAGAAGAAAATTTCCTTTGATGCCTGGTCTCCAAAAAGCCCAAACAATAGCAAGCCACAATCACTGGGCTATTGTTGCTACTTCTGGTTATTCTTTTCTTAACTTTGCCAGCTTTTGAAATTTAGTACTATCAAGGCTGGTAATCTTTAACAAGTACACCAGTGAAAAGCTGCTGGTTCCTTTATGGGCACAGACTAATGGCGTTCTGCCTACAGGCTTCCATGCCCTTTGAAAAACTCAATGGAGCAATTGTTACCTTCTGATCTACAAACCCCAGATAATTCTTTAGGGTCTGTATACTGAAACTCCTGGGAAAACAGGCACACAAAGACCCGCCTGAACCCCCACCACGCCCTCCCCAAATCTTTGAACCACTAGATGTAAAAACTGAATCAAGGAAGAAATAAGGAGACTAAAGAATGCACCCAGGAAAGCGTAAATGGCTTCCACACACCAGCATATTAATAAGAAAAAGCTAATGATCTCTAAACATGGTTCATAATAGTCATTTTGTTTCTGTTTTTTTGAATATCAACATGTACTTCATCAGCCTGTTAATGTACATAGTTCCAGAAACATAATAAACTGAATAGAGAAAATTCTCAAATTTCTAGACATACGTTGCAATTGTTTCACACGTTATATTTAATTTTTTGCTGAGGTGACTTTCAAGAAGGATTTTTCCCATACTGCAGCTGAGCTGTTGCAGAACATTCCGTGCAGAAATAAATAAGGTACAGAGCTGTGAACAGACTGCTAACCTGGCTGAGGCAGAGGTCAGTTCAAAAAGTTAGAACTTCATGAATGTTACTCACGTTCTCCATACAAAACATGACAGCATTAAGATTTGTTACAGCTCTGGAATTTGCATGTACTGGGGCTTGGAGCTTTCAAAACCTTTACCCAGGAGAAGGTCAAGTGTTCACTCCATTCGGTCTCCTCCCAGTGACAAAGTGGAGAAAAATAAAGATAATCCTGGTCAAACACTCAGCAAGTGTGACCCGGGCAGTTCACGGGTGATAACACATCAGTGGCTTGACGGGCGAGATAACAAGTCTAGACTGTACATAGAATAATATACAGAGACTGTAAAATTACCACTGAACTGATTTCCATTGAAACCTCCCTAAGCCCAACCTCAAAACAGCGTGGCCTTCTGTGGAAAGGCAGAAGACAAACGGCACGAGCTCAACAAGGAGCCCAACAACTACCGCTCCTGGAAAGTGAGGCACAGAACCAGAAAGCTCCATTTCACACTCTAAGTAGAATTCTATGTCAAGAGGAAAGGAAATTAAAATTGTCTGGTATAGCTTAACTTTATTAAAACGGAGGCTGTACTAAATTGGCCCCAAGAAGAAAAAGGCACAAAACATCTACGGACCTGATAAAAACCTAGCCATATTTTGTCAACAAAATATAAAAAAAGGTCACCTCTTATAGTTAAAAAATACAATAAACAAATGTTTTGTTACTTTTACAAAGAGTAAGTTAGAAGGCATTTAAGATATGGCATAAAAGAGGATATTTTGAAAAATCCCAAAGGTTGTGCTTGAGAGAAAATGCAGTTATTTCTCTCTTTTTTGTGGTTGAAACATAGATGCTCTTAATAAAATTGGGCAGATTTTGTTCCCAGCGCTGGGTTACATATCTTTGAGGAGATGTGCACGTGTGTGTGCATGTGTATTTTGGGTATAGAAGCACACAGACAAACACCAAGAGAGAAAGTCTGATTAAAATCAGATTCCTAGAGGTTGCACAGCCCTGTGGGGTTGGTAAAATGATAGGGCTCTGGTGAGTCCAGGGCCGTGACAGACTAGGAAGTTCTGTGGGTTGCTTTATAAACAACCTAAACTGAAATAATCTGGTGATGTGGAAGTTCAAAAGGTAACCCACTGTGTCTTGCGCTTCAGGCAGTCTGCTATCCTGCGAGACCTGAAATTTCTACAGAGCAAACCACAGCCTTTCATTCACCCACAGCTGACCTGGAGACCTGCCTATTATTTCATAGCCCAGGCCAGCCCAGGCCAGCCCATGCACGAGAGGCTACGATACATTCTCTACCAGCAGCAAAAAATTATCTATGGACCTGCTGGAAGCATAGGTGACATTTTGCTAACAATATTTTGTTCATTTAATATTGTTCAGAACCAAACATGATACTCAAATGTCATTTTCACTAGACACTGCATGCTAAACTAATAGGGGCTTGAGAACTGCTCATCACCTATAGTTCTAGCTTTACGGAAATGCAGCAGTGTTTATTATCAAAGTAAAGTTGTCCATAGCCATGGCCCAGGTCACAGAAATACTGATGTAGAAAACTGGATGTTATTCTGATATTCATTACAAATGAGCTTCCTGCTTGTGCTTCTATAGATTGAGACCTTCTGTTTACCAGTATGTGGTAATGTTCTGACACAAGAATTACCATTTCTGAATAGAATTTAGCTTAAAAACAGGACTTAGTGGTCTGCTAATGTGAAATGGCCATATTTTGCCGTATCCAGGTTCTGTTCCCCTGACCCACTGATCTTGACAGAAGAGGCAGCTTTACACTGTAGAAGCAGCATGGGCTTTGACAGATTCCAATCCTGGCTCAGCCTTTTAGGGCAGTCCTCAATTTCCACCCTTTGTGAGGGAGAGCACCAGGAAAGAACTGTCCTCTCTCTGAGTGGTCTGGGTTCCAGGCCACCGACAGGCCACATTTGCTAGGGGACAGTGTAAGTGAAAAGCTCGAGTATGTGGGTATGAAACCCCTCCTCTCTGGTTCTCTCTCCTCCTTTTGCCCTTTTATGCTACTAGCCTGGTGGTTAGATCTGGATTTGACTAAGGATAGGTGACAAGCTCCATTAGGTCTTAGGCCTGGGCTGAGGGCTGCAGGCCAGCTTACCAGTATAGTGCTTTTTACTGGAGTTTGGGGCACAAGTTGAACTGAGAATAAAGGGTTCATTTTCTTTCCAGCTGTCCTTTATGTGTGCATGGCCCTCATGTACCTCCCAGGGTTGGAAAGTGAGTGGCAGAGGAGACTTTGGGCATTTCGAGGCCCTTGGGCAAATATCATTTAATAGCCCCAATCCCATCATCATTTCTTTCTAAACATCTGATTTCCAATCAACACATTTTCGACACTACACATCAACATCTCTAAACAGTCTGTGTACTGAACTCGGACACATGTACACTGGCCAAAGAGGGAAGAGTTCAAGCTGCTGCGCCCCAAGTCAACAGTTACCAATTTCAGCAGAGTTACCACCTACACGCAGCAGTATTTGTGCAATTAGTTTAGTATTTTACTTTCTTTTTTATGACAATGAGTAGGAAGTAGAAAAATGGAAGTACTGATGCTAGTGATTAAAAAAATCCTTTGGTTTCAGAATTTAATAAAATTAAGATAAAGATGGAAACTAGTGAGTCTTCAGTTTCAACTGGATGCTCACTGGAACTGTGGTACAGCTATGAAGAAAAAGAAGAAATTAAAGAATATCTAAAGAGTGCTAGAAATAGCTGCTTAGAAGACTAGGTCTAAAGAGGAAGATATAATTAAGAATTTGGTAATTTAAAAAATCTCTCTGGGAATGGAATTTCTCTCACAAATTGTAGATGTATTGTTCTACATTTGATTTGTAAGAAGAGACACCTATATTAGTCAATTGACTTTGTATACATTAAGCAAGGTTTCTACGCCTTAACATACCCATGTGAGATGGAGTTATAATTAGAAATAGTTCAGGGTAAGCTGCCTTTTCCAGTGCCCTGGAGCACAGCAGAAGCTCAACATGGTACATGGAAGCTACTGTTATGATTCACGAGACTGTGAAGTTCAGACACCGTCTTACTCATCTTTATACTGCTGTCACTTAGCTTTGCAGACAGAAGGTAACAGATCCTCAATGAGTGTTTCACGAATGAGAAAACATTCTGTGCTTCTACCCATCTTAGAATAATATGATATGGATCAAGATGCCTTGGTTCCTGAGACGATAGAGTCCTTTTTTGTTGTTATGATGAAAGTTTTGGCCATATCCTACCCCTCATCTTGATTTTCAGAACTCCTCCTAATTCCAAGGTTGGCAGTCCCACCCCTGCTAGTTCCAGAGCCCTTTCCTTATCCTGCCTACAGCAGAAAGTTCTACTTAGCCTTCCACAATGGGCCACAATGGACTAACTACATAGTGGCTATTCTGAGAACCTGACATCATTTAATTTTGTTTTTTTAAATAAACACACACACATACACAAAATGTGTGTGTGCAAAATTTTTTTAGTGAGGGTTACACATTTTTGGAATGCAATCTGTTTATGAGTTGGCTGTGGGCTATATTTGGCCTTTATTGACCTGGCTACTTTGTGACATCTTGCAGCTAAACACTTCTCAGCTGGTACAGAGGACCAGTGATTATTATCACTTGTTTTAGAAGCTCTTCTGCCCTTGTGCAGAAGATATAAGACTAAGATCTTCACCTTCCTCTCGCAAAATTAGTCGGAAAAAAAACCATCACTACTATTAATAGTCTGATGTCTGAATTAGATTGGTGTAATACAAGTTTTGCTCCTAAAATTAGATATTTAACATTTTAACTGCTAAATGTGAGATGTAGGGGACAATATGCTCATAACTTCATTCTGCATAAAACATTAAAACGTCTCAATTCATTAAAAAAGTACTAGAAATAATTTCAATTTCCAATTCTAATGGTGGCATTTTATTACCTGTAAATCCATGCCATGAAAAGCATGGTTTCCTTTCTACCAAGCTGCATACGATTGCTGTGATAGTACTCAAAGTCTTGGGAGATATTTCAAATTTTAAATAGGATCCTTGCTGTGATTAATGTAAGATGCAGAGGGCACATGTTACTGAGATTTTTTCCACTTAAACCTAACATATTAAATCCAAAACATTTCTGCCAACCTACCAGGCACTTTGAGATCTAGACATCTCCTGGGATGACAGGCAGGCCTGTTCATAGTTAGCTTTTCATTAAATGGAGTTGGCACAGTAGACACAGTGTTTAATAAACCTTCCTCTTATTTAAGATGCAGGCTTTCTTATATAATCCTAGGATGAAATGGTTGAATGTGAATTAATTTTTGTATATTTATGCTCTCTTGTGACCTGTCCCATTGATTTGCCCTAGAGTGCACCTGTAGCTAAGAGCAACTGGCCATTTATTATATTCTAAAATTTTCAGCCCACAAGGGCTGAAATTCAGCCAGCTTTATGTCTTTTCCACTAATTAATTTTTCTAAGATCAGAAAAGTCACTCTTTTTCCCTTAAGAAATCAAGTTAGAATTTTTCCATGTGAAGTAGTCATCTGGAAATGGAAATACCAGTTGGTTATGTATGTATTGGGGTGGGAAGAGAAGGAGAGTCTTCTCTGGAGATGTGCGGGCAGGAGGATTATGGAACTTGGCTCTGGTCAAAACACCCAGGGCTGATGGAATCTCAGGGAAACCACATTTCAATAAAAGTTAACTGAATTTCATCTTCTCCCCAGATGAATCAATGAAACTTCTCCTCCTGCACCAAACAATTGTACTACCTAGGAAGCTGTAACCATTCTGGGAACATAAAAAAAAAGGCTTTAACTCCTAACCAGAACTTTATTAACCTCTATTTAAATCCAAGAACATGATTAACTCTATAAAAAGTATTCAAAAGTCTAAGTCAAGCTAGATAATAACTCTGCATTTATTTATATCCCACCTTGTTTCAAAGTCAGTTTTCAATTATTCATAAAGTGTATCAAAACAAAATAAATACCAAATAGGAAAATGAGGCAAAAGGCAAAGGAGGACAATAAAACTAGACGGAGCCAACATTTTGACTAATATGTTGTGAGGTCCTTACTGGGCGGGGGGGGGTGGGGGGGGGGGGGTTGTGTGTGTGTGCAATTTTGGCTTTAGGCATTCTAGCAGAGGGAAACATAATCTTCACAACATATATAAAACCCACAGCCTAAAAACAAACCAGCTGCTTAGAAGCCTGACTATTCCTAGTACAGGGAGCAGAGAAGCCATAACAAAATGAACCAGGGCTGCCAAGGCATTCTGAGAGTAAGCCAGTGGCACATGTCACAGGCCCACCTTGCAACAGTCCTCATTGGAGGCCAAAGATGAGACCAATAATAGTCATCCCCTTCTACATTCTAGGCACGGTGCTAACTCTACGAAGTAGATAGTATTAGCCTCATTTTATAGGTAAGGATGCTGAGGCTTAAAGAGGCTGAGTAACTTTTCATGGTCATATAACTACTAAGTGGCTGAGCTGGGCTTCCCACCCAGCTCTGTGCCCCCACCACTGGCCACACTGTTTCTCTGAGACCATCACAATCAGGTGAGATTTCATAAAGTAACTTACAGGGGTGGGGTCCACTGGGGAGATCTGATTTAGAGAACTTTTCTATCCTCATTCAACTCAGCACTGGAAGAAATAGTCTGAAAGCATAAGCCCAGGCATTGGCCTGGATGAGAGAGGTCTCACAATTGCTGGCTCCTTGCAGTTCAATTGCCTGCAATTCTAGGAAACAGGATTTAACTACTGTGTTCCTGCCGCCTAAGGTTGCATTTGCTTGCTTCTTCGCTTTTAATTTTCTCTCCGTAGTGTTCCTCTTCTCTGTATCTCTCTCATTCTTCCTATTAATTTCCCCTGTTAGGATGTTTTAAAGCAATTAGTTTTTAGACACTGTCTGCAGGATGCTGTTTTCAGAAGCAAAATGAACATCGTCTGAGGGGGCCTTCCAAGGTAGCAGGGATCTTTGGCAGCCAGAGCTATGGCTGTGCCAGCAGAAGACAGGAAACTACAAGGTGAATCGTAAATGTAGAGATTTGGAATCCACTTCCTGTGTGACTCAAAGCAAACCATTGAGTCCAGGCATCCCAGTTTCCTCAGTATTTCTATAAATGTGTCTTTGTAAGAAATAAGCAAGGTCTAGAAACTCAAAAGAAATCAAGGTGAAGCCCTCAGGAAATCAGGCTGAACTTTAATGAAAATTAGAAGTATTTTACAGAGCTCTTCTAAGAGCTTCAGGCCACTGATCCTCTCCCTTAAAAAATTAGCAGGCTGCAGGCAAGAGGCTTTCTAATTTTTTGTAAGATTCACAGAGATAACAGATGAAAGATCCACCCCACCTGGCAAGTGTCAAGGTAAACTGCAGGTGTTAGGAGGTGAAGTGTCCCAGATCAACATGACTGAATACCAAAGAGAGAAATAGAGATGGGAGACACTATACTCACTCCAAGGGCAGCCGGGTAGGGAACATCTGACGGGAAAGTGAAGGAAGGGCCAGTGGTCACTGGGCTGCTTGGGGGTGGGGTCACAATTAACCCAGTGGTACTTATGTGAACCTGCCAAGTGAAAAAGAAAAGTTAATAGAAAGAAGACTATATTTAATACAACGGGTTATACTGGCTAAACCTTGGAAGGGAAGGCAAATCACACCTTAAAAAAAATCTATAGCTTCTATTATTTTGGGAAGACTGAATCCCTTTCAGTTTATTCAACCCAAATTTACGGATTACCTAACTTGTATTACACACCGGAGAGTCACAAGATAAATACTGGCCACTACAAAGTCTTAATACAGAGTTCAACTGCTGTTGGCTTTCACAATAACAGGGATGCCTCACTCGGGATGGTACCATGAACCAAAGTGACCTTTCAGATGGTCAGCCTGGTGCCCGACTAGCCTGCTAGCCGTCTCCCTCAAGATCCTGTTAAGGTGGCTGTGGGCTGAATACTCACCTGTCTATCAAGACGTTAAATCCATGTGAAATGGTTAAGGTATTTTGCTATTCTCGGGATCGTTTTTCATGACTTTTACCTTTCATTGGGGACACATAATTAAAATGCAGCTGCCTAGACAGACCTACGGCAAGTAATTATTTATAAAACCTTTAAAGAAACAATGTCAAGGCAAATTAACTGTTTTCAAAGGTGTCTTATCCACCATACTACCCAAGATGAATTTACTAGACAGAAATTGAGTTATTCGGGTCATTTTCTTGCCTGTGTTCAGTTACTAGATCAATTTCATTCAAGTTGCATATCAGGTCCAACTGCAGAATGCCGCGGTGTGACCTGATGCTGCAGAAGTAGGGATGCGGGTTCTTGCACAAATGGGATGTTTTTCCTCCACTATTAAAAGAATGTGGCTGGCTGGTGCCTTGTTTCCCCAAAGAAACAATGATACACCAAAAATGCTAGGTTTTTTGTAATAAAAACTTAATCCCTAACATAGTTTCCTCAATTTCCGTAAATTAAGAAAAAGACGATCAGGACAAAGAAAAGCTCGAAGATTTGTTCCCAGAAGGCCAGAAGGAAACTTTCAGTTTCCCACCGGGTTAGGCCTTGCCAAGACCGGGCATAATCAGCACCACAGCATACAATTTATTTTCACAAATAAATCTGTGTTATACGTGGAATCTATATCCTTTTAAAATTACATCCGTACTTGTTAGCTCTTGTATTGATTGAACCTAAGGCTTGAATCTAAGTAGATCCAAGCGATGCCACTAACAAGAGTTTTTCCCCAAAGCCTCATTTTCTGCCTCTCCTGTGAACCATAGCCTATTTCCAATTAATTTCTAAGGGGAAGCACACTGATTTTTCATTGTAGGATAAAACCCAATGGCCTTTAGCTATTTGATCCAATAAATCTGTTTGTATACATACGTCAAGGACAGCTGAAAGTTGGCACCACATTAAAGATGAAGTCTTTCTTAGAGGATACAAGGAAGCTCACTTCAAACTGTGCACCATTATCAATGAAACTTTGGGATAGAAACAAATTACCAAAACACAGCTTCCTGGGCCTGACCCTACAAATATCTGAGAAAGATCTCACTATTGACTGATGTTTCTCTAAAAGGCCCAGACTGGGAGTCAGGATAATTAGCTGCTAATGAGCTCATGGTCTGGGACAAGTCACTTCACGTCTCTGGAGCCCCATGAGGAGCTGGACCAGCGGTTCCCTAAGGTCTCTGCTGTCACAGATGCAGGAGCGAAGCATTGAACATGGAGAATCCTGCAAGCACCAGTTCAACATGGAGCCGCTCCTGGCACTGGAGTAAAGGAGGAGACAGAAGTCATCCAAGAATGACTAAAAGCAGAAGAACAAGAAGCAGAAGTAAACCAGCCAAGGGTGAGCATGTCCAGAATAAATGCCCTGAATAGGGACAATCGGACTTGCTGCTGTGCTCATCCTTTCTGATGGAACTGCCAGTTAGGTTGGTCTCCTCTCCAAGGAACGGCTATGTGGAGAGGGAAGAGCTGGGGAAAGCAAATGGAAATGAGTCGGTGGATCTTCTGCTTCCCCTGAAGCCACTGGCAATACAAAAATGCCACAGAAACATTTAATAGTATGAATCGCTTCACCAGCTGGCAGAGGCCAAGAAATACTGTGAATGTGGCCAGGGGAGCAGACAAAATGTCTTGGTTGCTTGTAGCACCATGTGCTTTTACAGATGTCAATCACAGACATCTGTGTACATTTGTTCTGGTGACTCACCTGGACAGCACAGCCTATAAATAATCTTCTAATTTATATATTTGAAAGTTCAGCTGTCTCTCAATTGTCACCAAATACAATAGCAAGCAAGCCCTTCACTCCCTTCTTCTGTCCATTTCCCCATCCTGTTGCCTAGAATTTGGATGTGACAGGAAGATCTCTAATTGCCATACAGAAACATGAGGATAAGGACCTAGCCAGCTGGAGGAAAGGTGAACTGGAAGGCACCCTCACACCAGCACTGAACTGGCTTCATGGATTTCACTCAAGTGAGAGAAAATGAACACTCACTTCTTTAGGCCCCTTACTTTAGATTTTATAAAAAATGCAAACAAACTTAATCCTAACTAATACATTAAGAGAAAAAAAAATGGAAAGAACATTGAGGGTAAAGGCCGGCATGAATAAGGAAAAGCCAGACAGAAATCAGACCCAGAGTAGGAGACACATTCAACAATGGGCCTCAGTCAAATCTACTGAGAGGTCCCTTGCTGTCTCTTTAAACAGCCTCACATGAATCTTTTTCCTATACCCACTGATCTCCATCATTAGGAGAGTGTGTGCCTGTCACATATATTACACACACTCCTTGCTTTATTGTGGACTGTGCTCCTCTCCAATGTACACAGTACCCTAGACAAGTAGTGTTTTCTGTAAACCTAGGCTGGAGAAACCAGGCAGCACTTCAAACATCTCCCATCCTCTTCTAGAAATAACCTCTCCCTGAGGCAACACATTACCACTGCAAACAGAACGAACTAGAATACGGGAGGAGGGGTGGAATGGTTGAAAGGGAAACTGTTTTAACCAACACAGAAAGAGCCTTGTTTCTTAAGCTACTCAACCAAAACAAAAATAGCTCTACTTCATAGCCTTCATTCCCAGCTCTGGTGTGGCAGCGTCAGACATGCTCACACCTGATTGCTGAGTCCTCTGCAAAAGAGGTAAACGCTAAGTTGATCTTCCTTTCTCTTTTAATTTTCTCTCCTGCCAAAAGATCACTGTCCATTCTTTTAAAGCTATTTCCATTCTAAGTTGCCACCAGTCTTACTAGCCCCCTCCGTCAGAACCTTATTTAAAACTCTGCAGTTTTGAACCTTTCCAGGGTAACCTCACTTGGTGCTTCTTACTCTCATCTATAATCCATGTCTATTTTTCACATGAGTATTATCATTTACATGGAAAATAACATGGTTCTCCTCCCTACACATTTTTCAAGTGACTCATTCATTAGACAAATATTTATTGAGTGCTTATTCCATGTCTGACATTTGGGATGTATCAGTAAACAAAACAAAGACTTCTGCCCTCATCACAGTCATGTTCTAGTGGGGTGTGTGTGCATGCACATGTGCGCACGTGTGCACTCTATTTCCCTCATAAGATCACAAGTTTCATGGCCCTACCACCTAAAAAATGCCAACGAACCACAATCTCATTCATAAAGTGAATGCATTTAACTCACAACATGCAGTATGAATCTAAAGGAGTTGGGTCAAATAAATGAGGCTGAGAGAAAATAATTTTTAATAAAATTGGCAAGGAATACCAAAAACTGTACCGTAAATTTTTATTCTGTGCTCCAAAACAGGCACTTACTAAACTATAAACCTCTTGAGGACTAGGACCATGTATTTGTTTGTTTCTTTTTTTCTTTAAAGGAAAATATTATTTTTATATTTTTTACGAAACCACAGCTATATTGTGAAGTAGAATATAAACTCTATGTGAATTTTAAAAATGAGAGGAAAAAAATTTCTTCCACCTGTGCCAGGCTGCTTTGGACTAGGCTCTCTGACCTTTGGGTTAAGAAAAATACAGTTGTCATCTACCTGGATAATTAGAGCAGCCCTGTGACTTTGGCAAGGCCACAGTTAGGCTCATTTTGCAGTCCAGAATTAAGATCTAAGGGAGGGAAGTTCTATATCTTATTCATCTTAGCACACACAGTGCCTAGAAGGGTCCAGTAACAAGGCACTTAATAAATGTTTGGCAAATGATGAATAAATATTTCCAACATCTTGTCTATTTTTATTAACACAAGAATAATGTGTAGCTATTTTTTAAAACAGTCCAAAGTCTTGATGAACTAATGAGCTTTAAAAATAGACTAGGCCAGTTTCTAATTTAAATTAAATACTTCTTCATGTCCTTTCTCTATAAACTCTTGGAAGCCTAAATATCAAGGTAAGTTACACAGATGCAGGCAACTGCAAACTTGATGAGTTTTGACCACAGCATCTTCAGTTTGTATGGAAAGTAAATTGGCAAGATCTCCCAAAGCAGCTTTGTGAGAAGGTTCTATAAAACTGAGTGATTGCTTGGTGAAACTAACAGCATATAAGTCATCTTGTAATTTCTGATCTTGCCTTTGAGAATGACTGAATAGTCTGGGTTAATGCACCCAAGTTAGTTTTCCCTTCTCCATTTTCCCACCTACAGAATGAAGAAAAGGCTTTGCTTCCCAGGAAAGGTCCTATCTTCTGAAGGCAAAAATAGACAGTATCTTTCAACTAATGAGCAAACGTGTGTGAGGAGATCATTTTGGGGCCGAGCTCTTTTCATGCCTTTTGGATGATTTACCTGAGAAGGGGCACTGCAGGACAGCCCGGACAGCTCACTGATGCGAGCGGCAGCTGTGGGGTTGCTGGAGCTGATGAGGACAGGCGGGCTGATCTCCATGGAGTGGCGGTTCTGGGACGCCTGGGAGGATTTGCTGGCCATGGTGAGGGAAGTGAAGGAGTGCCGCTTTTTGGTGTTCTTCTTGGTGTCGGAGTGCTTTGGGGCAGTGCTGCTCTGGGCTGCCGCCGAGGTACATTCCCCAGCATCAACTCCTGGCACAGGAGGCTTATCCCATTCTATCAGCTGCTTGGCAGCTGAGTTGAACTGCAAACCACCAAATCGACACAAGAAGGTTACACAATTCTCAAGGACTCACTGGGATTTATTTTCAACAGCTTTTATCTCAAATTTAACATCACCACTTTAAAGTTTGCATGTGCAAGTATGGTTTTTTCCATGTGAGATGTCTTTTCTCTCAATACGAGGATTTCACCGTATCTATGTCACAGATAGATGTTAAACCAAGAATAAACCATTTTAATGCAAGACTGACAAGGTCAAAAAATTTTTTTTCCAAGAATTTTTAGAAGATCTCATGTTAAAATTTGCAGTAAAAAAAGAAGATTTATTTCAATTCACTGATGAAATTTAGAGAAGAGCAATTAAAAGGGTACATTCGTCTAACTGAATACTCTGTTGCCCAATTATGGCTGAATATTTGCTCAGAGCACAAGTGAACGTTGAAGGGTCAACTTTTGGGTTTTGTTAAATGAGCAAGACGACAAAGAATAAATCATTAAATGTCAACTCATGTACTTCCATGTAAATTAACCTCCTGCCTCTGTATTTTGGGAGAACCTCACAAAAAAGTTGGTAGAAACTCCTGATGTATTTTTTGTCATATCATTGTGTCAGTCATTTTCATATGTGCTTAAATTCTAAATTGTAACAGGCTAAGACATGAAATTCAAGTCCTGTTGGCAAGCTAGCTTGTCTATCTGAAAAGTTGTCTGAATGTAAATAACGGTACAAGGGGTCAAAAGCTGTGCACCGAGCTGACAACATCAGCAAGAAGAAAAAGAACACAAGCTTTTTGTTTCCCCTGAGGGAAAATATAACGTTTCAATGATAACATTCTCTTCAAGAGAGCTTCCATGATGACAAGCTGCATATAACTTACCTAGATATTACAATAACGGGCAAACACTGAGCATAGTTTAACCTCTCCTAAAAACCATTAAGATGAAAAATAATAATTACCTTTTAAGAGGTAATTTCGGTCATATTAAGGATAATTGAGATTTTCCCATCTCAGCATTGCATGCTCAGCACTTTGCAAGTGTCCTGAGATAAAATAACATCATCAAATGTTATTTTCTACCCACCTCAATGGTTAGGACCATATCTTCTCACTCTGTTGATGAGAATGTGCTACTAGAAGAATGGAAATCTTGTCAGTCAATATTTAACGGAGTGAACTTGCTTTGGCACAACAGGCTGCTCACAAAGCTGTATTAATTGCAGCTCAGTAGCCAGTGCTTCTGAAGATGATCACAAATTGATTAACAATTTGTTCCTGTGGCTCCCCAGGGAATCAAATTCATCTGGCCTGTCTGATCGATAATTAGTAGTGCACAACTTTTTCAAACATAAGATACCTCTCCTCAGACTTCAAGGTTTTTTCCTACATGATAAACTTTCAAGAATAATACGCAGCAATGCCACAGTAACACTTATCAGCATCTGAAGTACCAATAGCGGGAGAAGAGGATCATAATGACTCTTTGTGCTGTGTGTCTAGGCATGACGAAATGAGGTACTATTAAAGGGCGGCCTTATTATAGCATTATAATGGCATTTGACCAGGAGATCCAGAATTTACAAATCCTACCTTGGTTTAGCCATCCCACCTTCTGAGTGGTCCCCAAGAGAATCAATGCCCAAAGGAAGCAATGTAACATTTTATTATAATGACAGGAATGGCCCAAACGTCAGTGTAGAGCTTCGATAAACTGCAGCGAACTAGGTGGTTGTAGGGTCCTCTTTCCTACATAGACTAGGTGTAAGGGGTTTGAAATCAAAGCAGACAGAAAAGCTACTCCATTTCCCTCATCCCAAACTTATCACCCAACGAGATGAAAGGCCACTGCACCCAACGATGCCAGAGGAAAAGGAGACAGAGAACGCCTTCTTCCAGTATAAGCTCATTTAGATCCAAAGACACCAATCCTCAAAAGCATGACCTAATCAGTGTGCTGGAATCCGACCAATTAACTTGGCACTCCTGTTGCATTGAGTAAGAAACAGGAGAAGGAGGTGAGAAGACTCCTCGCTGCCGCTCCCCCCCGCCCCCCGCCCCCCACTGAGGCCAAAAATATGAATAGAGAAACTATCACTTCTACTTGATATCATGGTTAAATTAATTCCGGGGTCAAACCGTAGGCTCCATTAGCAGTGTCTGTTTTCAAATAGTTTAAAATGTTACCATAGTCTAGTCATGGTCATACCTAACCAAGTGTTGGTTATAGTTAATACTGTGTCAACATTTCAGGTTTCCATACGCCATGCTCTGGTATAAACACCTGGGAAACGAAGTATCAGTCCCTATATTTTCTGATGTTTTTCTAATCAGAAGAATACTAGGTGCTTTCCTTGTATCTTTTTTTGTATCATATACTTTCTATCAAAATAAATACAAATTGATCACGTATTATGTGCTAAATAATATACTAGGTGCTGGAGATCTAATAGATGCAAAGAAATGGACCCTGTCCTTTAGGAGCTTCTAAACAGACATATAAATGACACAAGTGCTCTCTATAATTTCCTATGTCTGGCTTCTTTCACTCAACAATAGGCTTTTTGAGATTTATCCACATTGCACCATGAATCAGCCATCTTTTTTAAAAATTGCTGTGTAATATTCCATTGTGTGGATACACCACAGTTTATTTCTTGATTCTATTGTTGATTTATATTTGGGTTCTCCTTCCCTCCTCTCCTCTCTCTTCTCTTCTTCCCTTTCTCCTTCCTTCCTATAGATTTTGGCTATTAAGAACAATGCTGCCATGGGGCCAGGCCTGTGGCTGAGTGGTTAGTTCACATGTTCCAGCTTTGGCGGCCCAGGGTTTTGCCAGTTCAGATCCTGGGCATGGACCTAGCACCACTCATCAGGCTGTGTTGAGGTGGAGTCCCATACGGCACAACTAGAAGGACCTACAACTAGCATATACAATTATGTACTGGGGGGTTTTATGGAGAAGAAGAAAAAAAAAGATTGGCAACAGATGTCAGCTCAAGCGCCAATCTTTAAAAAAAAAAAAAGAACAATGCTCTCATGAATAATCTTGTACATGTCTCGCCACCAAACATAAGCACAAATCTAGATATTGGGTATATGCCCAGGAGTGAAACTGCTGGGCCATAGGGCTGGAATGTTTAGAAAAATATAGTCTACATGCCAAAGAATGTGTACGCAGGTAGACACATCGTGGTGTGGGGGGATAGCAAACTGCAGACAGAAGACCACAGCTCAAGTCCTAGCACAACCACTGACTGACTCTGTGACCTTCAGGGAACCATTTTACCTCTCTTGATTGCAGCTTTCCTATCTATGAAACGAAAAAGTTGGAGCCAATGATCTTTTTGTCTCTTTCGGCTCTCCACATGTATAATATATGATTTCCTTTTAAACAGATAGAGCTCATTTTTCTATTTCATTTCTTTCACTTCTATTCCTCTAAATAGCCTAGTATATTTTTCTTGCATTTCATTTTTACACATGGACAGTAATATCTGTTCGCAGGATGTTGCCATACCATAAAATTACTTTAGACTTCTGAAGCAGCAGAGGATAGTATTAAAAAATGCTATTTGCTGCCTTTATAAGTTCCAAAGAAAATCACAAAGTTAAGACTTTGGTAGAGGCATTAAGTAAATCGGGCAGAAACTTAAAGAGGCTTTTGTTGTAAGTGTAACTTAACCTTCAGTAACAACAGGAAAGCAAGGATCTGACAGCTTTTAACGGAATTTTGATAAAGTTCAGTTTTGAATGTTTGAGCTCAGCCATGTAGGCTTTCCATGACATTTATCTAGCCATGACCTTTGAGTTCAGGAGTGCACTCATCACCTGCAAAATAAATGTGTTTCCTAAAATACCTGCTTCCAAGCACTTAGGAAGGATAAGACCTCGGTTGGATACAAGGTAAAATTCAGTACACTGGAGCTAACAGCAGAGACTGACAGGATTTGTTGATCCTAAAACTCCGAGGTCTCTTTTTAGGAAACTCTAAAATTTAGAAAGAGAATTATCATAAGTATAATTAAACATGAGAAGGGAAATATTGACAAAATAATAACAACAACAAGGCAATTTGAAAAATATCAAAATAACTTTTTGTGTGTGGTTCTCCTCTTTGCTAAAGAAAAATTTGGCCTTCTTAAAAGATGCGACTCAAATTTTTTTTAAAGAGAAAAAGAATTTTAATGAGAACTAAGTTGAATAGACACTATTTTATGTGAAGCTTTACAGATGAACCAGCCCCTAGTTTTTGAGCACTGGGGAATACAAATAGTAGGTTTGAGGAGAAGAATCTATTCTAAATTACAATCCACTAGAATGTCTCCGAACATAAGGTTTTTGATAAAAGGCAAAAAAGACTTTTAAAAATGTTAGAAAGTAATATATGCTCATTATTTAAAAAAAACGAAACAGTACAGAATATTATGAAGTAAAGAGTGAAAGGCCTCAGCCAGTTTCACTCGGGTCTCCCAGCAACCCAGTTCTCAGATGGCTCTCCATTTAACAGTTTAGAACACATTCTTCCATATATTTTCTATGTAGATGTTGTTAAATATGTCTCCTTTATTCATTTTTAACCCAAATGAAACCAAGCAGTACATACTATTCTCTCCTCTAACAATATCTCACGATCTTTCCATGTCAATAGAGACAAGCTGACAGCATGGTAGTCCACTGCACAGAGATGTCATCACTTAATGTATCCTGGCATGTTTGTGGAAGCATATCTGCAGGATAAACTCCTAAAAGTGAAACTGTTGGATCCAAGCGTAAGCTTAAAACACTTTTTTGAAGGATATTGCCACATTACTCTCCAAAAAGATGTTAATTTTCATCACCTCCAATAGTGCATAAAAAGTCCCTGTTGCCCTACATTGTTTATAGTATTAGGTGTTATCAATCATTTTTTCAAATCTCCATTAGTTGGAGAGTAAGAAACTATATGATACTATTTTAATTTGTATTTCCCTATAAATGAGATTAAATATCTATTTTCTTTTTCTAAGATTTGCTTATTCCCACA